GTTGAGCGTTAGGTTGTTAGTTGGTTCGTTGCCAGTCAGCCAGAGTTCCTTGTTGCTTATTGTTTCTGGCCATCTGATCTTGAGTATCGAGTGAGTGTAGGCGGCAGTTGTTGATGAATAACTGTAGTTTGTTGGAAATGCTTTTCGTAAGGCGCCAAGTCTCTGAACCATATAGAAGCACTGACTTGACATTGGTGTTGAAAACCTGGATCTTGTTCTTTGTGCTGAGTGGAGTACAGTAGTTCTCTACACTGATTTTAGATTAGTGAAAGCCTATCTTTCTTTTCCGATCCTGGTTTTGACATCCTCATCTATGCCGCCTGTAGTTGAAACAGTGCTGACTAGGTAGGTGGAAGAGGCAACTTCCTTTAGATTTCTCCCGTTGGTGGTGATGATGATTGGTACTTGTTATTATTGTTGTTGGTTGGTTATCTTCATCACCTCTGTCTTCTGTACATTCACTTGAAGTCCCGTGTTCGCTGCCTCGCCTTTTCTGTCATCTTGTTGCTTTTTGCCTGTAGATCTTCAAGTTTGTGCGATAGTAGACACAAATCACTGGCGAAATCCAAATATTCTTCTAGCATTTTTTTATCGGTCCAGAAAGCGTATGCCGATCTTCTCTCTCATCACAGTTTGTTGCATGATCCAGTCCAGTCCAGTCGACCACAATCAAGAAGATGATTGGTGATAGTAGGTAGCAGCCTTGCCTTACTCCTGTTTTCTTTTCAAAGACATCACTGATCTTTCCATTTTGGATCACTTGGCATGTGGCATCGTCATGTAGTTGTTCAATGAAATTGATATAGATCTGTGGCATTCCGTAGTGGTGAAGCAGCTGCCTGCCTTTTCAAAGTCGATGAAGTTGAGGTAGAGAGTTGACTGCCATTCTATACCCTGTTCTATGATGATGCATAGTGTAGCGCTGCAATTTGGTCCTTACATGATTTGTACTTCCTGATTCCAGCCAGCCTGTTCAGGTCGTAGTTTTGAATCCAGTGCATCCTTAAGTCTCTCCAGGATGATGCGGCCTAATATTTTGCTTAAAGTGGACGGGGGCAGGAGCATGATTCCTCGCCAGTTCTTGCAAAGAATTAGGTCGCCCTTCTTTGGGAGTTTGTCAAGGTAACCCTTCTTCCAATCTCCAGGTACCTTTCCTTCCTTCCAGACCTTCTGCAATAGAGGTGTTGGCATTTCGGCTGTTGTCCCTGCGTCTGTTCTCAGTGCTTCTGGCGGGATTCCATCTAATTCTGCTGCTTTCCCGTATTTCAGCAACTTTATGGCATTCAGGACTTCTGCTTTTGTCGGAGGGCTTGTGTTCGCTGGTAGTTCTGTGGTTGCAGTTGGTATTTGTGGATGAGTTGCAGGTGGTGATGGTGGTCGATCCAAGAGCTTTTTGAAGTGGTCAGCCCATTGTTTTCTTTGCTTTTCCTCTTTCTTAACTAGGTTCCCTTCACTATCTTTCATTGGTTTCATCTGTATTGACCTCTTCCCTCTGATATAGTAACCTGGTTGTTTGATGTAGTGTTGTCAGGTCTCTATCTCTCCTACCTACAGCCTGTTCTGCTTCACTTGCCAGTGTGTCGTAGAAGTGTCTTTTGTCTTTGTGTGCACTGTTTTTCACTTGTTTGTGCAGTGTAATGTTTTATAGGTTGTGATGAGTTCCTCTTTTGGTTGTTCATGCCTGCAGTGCATTGATTTATCTTCTGCTTCACCATGTTCCTCTCCCTGCTATTTCAGCTTCCATGTGTCTGTCGAGATCCATTTCTTGTCTTGCCTCTTCTTCTTCTTTCGTGACACGGTTATGCAGGTTTCTTCCCACATCTCTTTTCAAAGGGTTCCAGTGTTCTTCCACACAGGTTCCTTCAGGGATGTTGCTCAATGTCTCCCATTTTGTCTTGATGGCTGCCGTGAAGATGTCGTTTGTAGTTTCGTCGTTCAGTTCACTTTGTGTTTTGGGTGTTCAACTTGAACTGTTGTGTATCATCAGCAGCTTCTTTGAAGGCTTTCAACTTGATTTTGAAAGTAGATTATTTGCACTAGACAGTGAGTGGTGTGAAGCTATATCTGCTGCTCTTCTTGATCTGATCTTGTGTCCAGTAGGCTGCATCTCCACTTTCTTCAGATTGAGATGAAGTCGATGTTATTTCTAGTGTGGCTGGTGAAATGCATGTCACTTTGTGAATATCCTTGTGTTTTTATACACTGCCTGCAATCACGAAATTGTTGAATGCGCGAAAGTCAGCAAACAGTTCTCCTTTCTCATTGATTTCACCGAGTGCTTCTCGACCCATGACGCACAACCTTCCCTCTTTATCCGGACTTAGGACCGGCTGGTAACTAGTGAACTAGTTGACCATGCGAGGTTTGTTCACTAATAGTAGATAGTATCTTTCTGTATTTCGTTTTCTACACTCAGTGCATAAATTAAATAAGACATCAGTACCAACAAGAATATTGGTTTACTTATTTAGCCTATTGATTTCGTTATAATGATAATTACAACAGCATAAAACATTACTGGGATAGGCGTAGATGATAACAGAAGCTATGAAATGGTGGATAGCCTTAACTATTAGTAGTATGAGAAATTGTACGTTTATCGGTTTATTTCCAAACAAAAAATACTAGTTCGCATTCATCATGAACTGACATCAATTGGAGGAACATTAAAAACCCCAGAGCACTGGACAGCTGCTTCGTCTCGGTATAGCACTTTTCAGCAGTGCGCACCCATGACCCCGTCAAGGATCGAACTTTCTACCTTAAGGTTCCGTGGCCAGCATGTTACCATTGAGCCACTGGGTGGGAGTCCAATGGTCTATATTTCCAACTTCTGTCAGTTCAGCACGTAGCGCGATCATCGCCCGATGTCATCATCACCAAAAAAAATACTAGGAATCAATTACTGGATACACTAGAAGACATAACATGTAAATCGACTTAACTTCGTTTTCCTTTAAATCGTTACTTATATGTTCTTGCTTTTTTCTTAATATTCCTCCTGTTTGTTTTTTTTCTGGCGTTTTTGTTAATTTTTTCTTGAGATGCTATAATTTTGAACCCAGATGGTTTGTTTGGTTTATCGTTCATTTTTATGCCTATTACTCAATTGAGGCCGAGGAAAAGTCTATTAAAGATTTTTATTTTAACTCAACATTCTACTAGAGACTAGGCATTTGTTAAATCTAATGTTATTGCTTGTATTATCCCGTCGTTGATTGGACCGAATTGACCGGTCTCTATTAGCATATGGGTTCTTGTGCTGATGCCGCGATATTACCTGTGTTGAAATCACATATTAATAATGGATAGTGGCTAGCAGTTCAGTTCAGGATGTGCGTTTCGTCTTGTGTCGAACTCGACAGTTGAATACATCCGCTCCCCAACGAGCCATATTGTTTCCCTTAAGACTCGGTCTCGGGACCGACTGCTCCAAACCCCAGAGCGTTATCCATTAGACCACCGAGCCACGACAGACACTTCTTGTATGACGAGTATACTTTTAATGTTAATGCTTGTATTGCCCATTATTATTATATAACTCAAACACAAACAATATCGACGCATCCGCCCTGGAGCCCATATGCTAATAGAGACCGATAAATTCGATCTAACCAACGACGGGATAATACAAGCAATTATAATGAAACTATACCCGTCGCACAAGAGGCTGATATCGTGGCTCGATGGGTAAATCTTTGGTGCTTGAAGTAGTTGGCCTCGGGTTCGAGTCCTTGCAGGGACAACATTACTCATCTGAAGACAGGTACATCGGGCTCATGTGCTCCAAATAAGACGAGACGTACGTCCTGGACTGAACTGCTAGCCACCACTCATTATAAACTTGTTTAACTTTTCTAAATAAGTGAAAGGAACTTGATCATAAAGATCACTAAATGTTCTAAAATCTTAAGTCCTTTGATTTGTCACAGCTATATCAATGTTCGATTTATTTCATTTGAAACATCCTATGTAGAAATAGTATTAGTAAGTAATTGTAATAGTGAAATTTGAAAAAGAAAACGCTAGAGGCAGCCAGATTAAAACATGACACCACTTCATACAATCTCAGATGTATGAAAAAATCCAGACTTTAAAAGCTGAGATCCATATGACGACGGAAATCGGTAGTTAGTTAGTTGACTTCAGATGATATGGCTGAAAATCGATCTCGGATACATCCACAAATTATCTTTATCTTAATCATCATACCGACTGTCATCATTATTCCGTTCTTTTTTATGCGGATGTTTACTCATTTTGGTTATTCTTTCCCTTATTTCTCTATCTTTCAGCTTGATGCCTTCTGCCTTTCTGTGCTGTTATAAGGTGTGGCCACTTGATGAACCGTTTCACAGTGATTTCGATGTCCTACTTTGATACTGACTGACTGAAGGTTTGGTTTGTGCATCGATGACCTGATCTGATATCTGCCTAATTTCCTCTAGCGATGCCTAAGGGTTTAATGGCTATAAAACCGGAAGTTGTAGACACTATGTTCGCCGGACTTATTCCCCTGTGTTTGTCACACGAGGATTTCTCATTTGTCTTGCAAACTTAGATAATCAGTGATCGAGATCAGTCCGAAGGGATTTTATTTGATTTACATAGCCAGTAATCCCCTCTTTAAATACCACTAGTGTAAGTCCGTCGAAACTAATTTATTCACTGGTTTAGGCAGCTGTTTTTAACTAATGAGTTTTTAGTTCTGAGATAGTGGCGAGGATTTTCACCTCAGAATGAGGATGATAATTGTTTTGGGTTCTCCGATATTTGAGGTTTATTCTCAAAAGTTTCATCACTGGACTAGGTAACTTCGGTATTCCATTATTGAGGTTTTAGCAGCCATAAAGTATCATTACCCACCATACAATAGGTGTTGGTCATTGGCTAATCCACAAAACTCCACATGATTTTTAAGTTTTTTAAAGCTGAATTCCTTGTCGCACCATCTCCATTTACTTCAAGTACCTTTTTTTTCTCCTTTTATATGATATTAGTTACTTGATACATAAATCACGCCTAGTTCATTCAGAATTGAATAGTAATAATGCAACTGTGACCAATGTTTCATCTCTAACATCATCAGCCGATCGGACTCCTGCTACTAGTACTGCTGTCAACAACCAATTAAATCTTGTCCAAAGTACTGGACTACAGTGTTTTCAACAACTTTGTCAAAATTTATCTGGACACCTACTTCAATGTCCATTAACTAAACAAGTATTTGCAAATTGTGTTAGTGAACTTGGTGAGTAGTAGAGATTGTATAATGGTTATATTGTTATCATGTATACTTTGGAATTCATAATTATGATGAACATGTTCATCTTTCTAACGGCCTTCGATAAAAACCTGCACATCCTTTTGTTTTCAAATTCAAAATACCAAGCAATCTTCAAAGAAATAATTTTACTGTTTAACAATCCTAACTATTTCCTCTCTTTCTCTTGAATATAAATAGTATAATGGGAGGAAATGGTTAGAAGGTATATTATTATTATTATTATTATTATTATTACTATTTATCCCTTGGGTTCCTAGTGGAACATAGGGCTTCAGTAGCATGTCTTCACTGCACTCTCTTCTCTGCTGTCTTTTCAACCTGGCTCCACGACTGCCCATAACCTTTCATTTCTTCCTCACACAATCTCCTCCATGTCACCCTCAGCTGGGACACCCAACTCGTCGCTTCTCATTTGACTTCCACTCGAGGACCTGGTCTGGCGTGTGAGATATCTCCAAATGGTCTTCTCAGTGTATGTCCAATCCAATCCAATCCAATCGATCTCCACTTTCTTCTTCTGCATATATGTTGGTTGGTTGGTTGGTTGGTTCGTTGCCGGCCAACAAGCCAGTCAGCCCGAGTTGCTTGTTGCTTATTCTTACTATTCTATCCATCTGATCTTCAATGTCAGTATGGAGTGAGTGTATGTGGCAGTTGTTGATGTGATGTATGTCTGCAGGTTGTTGTAAATGGTTTTCGTAAGGTGCCAAGTCTGAACTATCACATGGAAGCACTGATTGACTTGAGTGATGTTAGTGTTGAGGGTCCGGATGTTATTCACGTTTTATGTTGAGTGCAGTACAGTACAGTACACTACATCTCCCCGCTGATTTCAGTGTGGGGCGATGTCCGAACTGATAAGCCACAACCCCTTATTGAGCTAGTTGAACAGATAAACGTCCAGTGAACGGAGTCGCTTACAGTATTCTCAGAACACAAACTTAATTTGGATTAAATGATTTCGTTATGAATTAAAACTGTCACATATATGATGTACTCGGTATGCAAGGCAGATATCAATTCAATATTCATCATGGAGTGACATCAGTTGATGGAACATTGGAAACCTGTGAGCACTGGACATCTGCTTCATCCTAGTATGGGACTCGTTAACAGTGTGCACCCATGACAGCACACCACCACGGGTCGAACCCAGCATCTTCAGGTCCCCTGACCAACACGTTATCATTGGGCCAGTGGGTGGGAGTCCGATGGTCCAAATTTCCTACTTCAGTCAGTTTACGATATAGTGCGATCAACATCCAATGACGTCATTGAGTAACTGTCCTCATGTTCGACTTGATTGACTCCACTGGTCACGACTTCTCATTGGAACCTCAGGAATCACCTCTTGAAGCTAGTCACTAATGAGCACTAGATCAACTTGATTCTTGGGATTTGGAAATGTGAACCATTGGATTCTGACCGAGTGGCTCAATGCTAACTTGTTGGCCACGAAACCTGAAGGTGCTGGACTCGATACCTGGCAAGGTGGGGTCAGGGTGCATACTGGTGAGAAGTCTCATACTAGGACGAAACAGCTGTTCAGTACCCCCAGGTTTCCAATGTCCCTCCAATTGATGTCTGTCCATGATGAATACCAACGTGAAAACTCATTAAATCCTCACATACCCCCTAAATTAAATTGAGATAGCAATGGCTACAAATTATTTATCAGGTAATAAATAGGTCGCTGAAAGATGACAACAAAAGCTACCAAACAGTCAATAAGATTGAAGTTTTGATAAGTGGATAATTCATAAAAGCACTATACGATATTAAACAAACCGATAACTGAAATGATCCAACTTCAGTGCAGATTATGAGTAATGCATGGAATAATAGCAGTGCATCTCAGTATTCATCGTCCCCTACAGCCTAGTCTCCTGTCTACATGTAACAGGTTGCTTAGGTCAGTTATCTTTGTTGTATTGTGTTCTCTGAGATGGGTGGTTTATGCGTGACACTTTCATTGTCTTTCCAGACGACATCATCAGTATGAAGTGACCTGTCGATATCTCTCCGTGAGTGATTGAGTAGGTTGCCCTGACAGAGTGGTTTGTGATTGGTTGTCTCCTTTGATAGTTGTGTCATTGACTGCATCGAGTCTCTTGTTGACTGTTCCTCTACTTAACCTCTGTCCTTCCTGTCACTTGTCATTTTTCTCATTGGTTGATAGATTGGGTCTATGTGTTGACTGACGTAAATGCCAAGCTCCCAGGAATTCTCTGATGTTCTTTATATTTCCTCTGTCTAACATCGATACATTATCAAAATCGAATTCATCCTCATAGTTGTTATCCATGTGCAATGAAATGAGTGATGAAATGTCGTGATGCTTAATAGCCAATTGGTGTTAATGTAAACGAAGGCGAAGAGAGCGACCACTTTGTTCAATGTAGTGTTGATCACAACTATTACAGTTAATTTTATAATTGACATTTGGCTTGTCTTGTCTAGCTGTCGCGTCATTTGACCTGCATTATACGGTTTGAAGGGAATTCATCAACATCAACATGGGACCCAGAAATACTGCGTAACGATCGAAGTTGCCCCACCTCATATCAGCACATCACGTAACCAGGGAATGAAATGGAAGATTCATAAAGAAAGAAAAATCGGTTAGAGGAAATAGAAATAGATAGTGGTAAGAGAGAGGAATGGAGAGTGAGATGAGATTAAGTATAGGGGAGAAGATGAGGATAATGTGTGTGTACATCTGCGCCATATCACCTAGAGCCCCCAACACTTGTTTCTCTTGCCCAGCTCACCCTAACCAGCTAGTCTCCATCGCTCTACATGGCTGAAACAAACAGTCTACGACTTCATTCATTCACGCCCTGTTTTAGTTTAGCCACTCCAAGCCTTTTTCCACCCTGAACTTACTTTGGGCAACATTGTGTGACGAAGTAGATGGTGACTTGGCGTACGTAACACATGTCTCAACCATCTCAGTCAATGAAGGTTTACAACAGTACCAACTATCTTGCCTCCCTCCCTAAAACTCTACACCTGAATTCTGCGTTACATACGTGGTGACACCACGAAACACCATGGCACATGCTAAGAAGGCGACGGCGGTTAATCACCTGAAGCCTTCTCATGTCTTCTACCTTTAATGGACATGTTTCACAGCCATACAGTAGAACGGACCGGAATGCTGTGCAGTACACACGACTACTCAATAGACAATGGAATATCGTGGCGGCGTTACAAATGATGTAAGTTGGCAAAAGCCAACCTAACTTTTTTATGAGTGCAGAGTTATCGTCGACCACTCACCCACCAGGGCGCGATTGATTCCACTTCTCAGGTAAGGGAATTGGTTGGTTTATGAACCACACCAACTCCAAGTGGTTTCAGCAATCTTGTCGTGGTCTCTGATATATTATTTATGTACCGTAGAGTACAACCATGCAAATCAATTTAATCAATATATATTGTAAAGTAATCATTGACTTTTGCTACTTACTAGTGCTTGTAATTCCCCGTTGACTATTATCCTGAACCTAATTGATTGTTCATGATTGACATATGGGCTCCTTGAACAGATATATATCTAGATATTTGAATCGAAATCGAAATGCACTCAACAATCTTGTGCACATTCGTCCAGTTTTCAATGAGCCATACTTGTTGTGTGAGGATTAATGATACTACCTAGTTATCGAAATCTCAGTAGGTGCAGTGGTATTCGAACTCAATGAAGTGCAGCTCCGCCAGTATAATGCTTATACCTGGTTGGAAATTACAAGTATCAAGTAGTATGATAGTTATTGCACAAGAAATGGCTCTCATGACTCGATGATAAGCCTAGTGGATAACGCTTTGAGGTCTGTAGCGATGGTTCTTAGTGAGGATACCATCACTTACTGTGATACGGGTACATCCAAGTAATAAATTCCAAATAGGACGTAAGCCGCATCCTGGATTGCACTGCTTATCCATTACTGAACAAATGACATCGAAATCGTCTGTTTTTTTATACACCTTAGTGGCAGCCTTTTTGATACGAGTTAATTATGCCAAATAGCCATTCGAATTAATATATAGTGTGGCTTCCTACAAAGATAATTCATCCTCAATGTCTCAGAGTCAGAGCAATGGCGTATACTTTTTTTCTTTCATACAATATGCCAAATTGATGAACGTGATCTGATATTTTACGCATTTACTCTTTAAGTTTTTGGTCACACTATGACCAGTAGTACGAACTAACAGTCTACGAGCGATAGGAGCCTAGCAGACTACGTACATAATGCGCAAACAAATCGACTCTAACGCTAAGCTGAACGTCAATCACCACAACAGCAATACTACCGAAGCGCAAAGACGAGAAGACAAACTGTTGACAGAGAACTTTATACTGTCTCAACAACAGTCAAAATATTTAACAGTGGTGCTGAATATATACATTGCCAAATGACCTTGGCAGCACCAAGTCCACGTGTAGTTAACAACCAATAGGAGCTCAGCCTTGAGAACAGAGGGAAGAAAAACTAGAAACGGTGTGGAAACAGCCATGTAGGTTATTTTAAGGTCATGGGCAAAACAGCAGACAAAAGCTATACAAAATTAGAGGTATATGGCAGGTTATGCATCTTCTCACGCGGAACAAACGGCATTTATCAGCTGCAAATGTACAACAGACTTCCTGGATCTTAGGTTGGTTCTCGCTTGTTGAGATTCAAGTTCGTAAACTAATGAGTCTCAGTTCTACAGATTCTTCGAGAGCCAATTATCGAGGGTATAGCCCTGACGTTGTCATTCAGAGATTGTAAGTCATCAGCTTCTCTCTGTCTCACACACACACACACGAAGAGGATTACGAAGCATTCAAATATGATTGTCTTCCTCACTTTATTTGTTTGTTTTTTCTGTTTTATTCCTATAGCAAATGAATTTTTGACCAATTTATCAAGTCAACATCAATTAATATTAGATATGTTGGTAGCATTACCACATTTATCAAATCTTTTGTCAACAACATTTATACCACCTAATCCATCCACTTTGTATATAAACAGTAAGACTGATCCTATTTGTCAACATCCCTTATTGCCAATTTATCAGCGTTTGATGGATATACGTTTTCGATGTAATGCACAGACAGCTCTGAATATCTTAGAAAAGGTGAGTTTTTCGCCTTCACCCCCTCCCCCCCTCCACCACTTTATCATATTGTTCTCCTAAAGGTTTTGCGTGTATTGATACAGATATGTGACTGGAAGGATGGAACATTAACTTTGATGAAACTGTTTCAACTCAACAGATACGAATCGATGTTAATCAGCGCTAACTCATGCTAGTTCGAATCTTTCATATGTAAACACTTTAACCACATTCCTTATAAGCTATCTTTTAAATAACTTAAAGGCTGTTGCCTAACAACGATAAAAACCTTTGGTTTCGTTTATTATGTTTAGTTGGAGCGCTAGCAGCAAACGCCCAGAAGCGTACACATATTATTATTATTATTCCCTTCGGTTTATATACACACTTTGTCAGTAAATGTTAACCTACCTCTTATCATGTAAATGAATGATAGATAGATTTATTCAGAAAAAACACCTTAAAGTTATCATCACTTAAAGATGCATTCTCTTAACTATTATCAGACATCTCATCGACTGACGTCGTATCTCATAAGTTTTGTGTCATTTTCTCTTAACATAACGTAATGTAGACACGGTCCTCTGTTGTGTAGCAAATACATGTCTACTTATTTGGTTGATAGCCGAAATTAGCTTAAAATATCCAAGTAATTCCTACTTCTCTTCTGGTTATTCACATGAAATATTCTCTTATCTTTACTATGTTTATTTGACATATTTTTCTAATTTTTAGATTAACTTTAAAACATGGTTTTCTATGGAGATCAAGTGTTATAATAAAGAACAATGGAATCAATTAATACATGCTTTATTCACTTGTATTCAAGAGACTACCAACATCACAACGACTACTAATAGTATTACCGTTGCAACTTATTCCTCAGAAATGAATTCACGTTGTTCAGAAGAAAATGAAGATTTACACAAAGTTTGTTTATTTTCCCTTGAGGATTTTACGTATTTTGTTTATGTCTCAGGTTAGAATAGATTTATACTGGTTGATGGTTGAAGGTAAGATGAGAATTTGGACGGCGGCCGGATTCGAACCAATGACCGCCAGGTTTCCGGCCCGATGCTCTACCAACTGAGCTACGAGGACCTCAGATAGTTAACTGATAAAACAGATTTATCGTTACTGACACCTACTACTTTAGCGTGGTGGTTGAACTTACCTTTCGTAATGAGGTCGAGAAGAGGTAAAACTGTCAGCAGTTGTTGTTATCCCGCAAGCACCTTACATCAGGGCAGGGATCTGAGGATGAATTTGTACTGATAACTGTAAAGGAATGTTACAGCATTAAGTTGTTGCCCATAAATGACCAGCAATCTATTTTGATTCTGATTTCTTATCAGAAGGAGAGGTTAGAAAAGTTTGGTCTTAAAAATATCACACTCCTCTCTGTCTTACGGTTTTCATGTGATAGTGTGGATCCTTATATCGCGAATGCAACGCAATCAAACCTAAGTCTCAAACTACCATCAAGTAGATATCCTTTGAGCTCTGCAGTCATGCAAAACTAACTTATTTTCCTTTTTAAGGTACTTCACGAAAATACCTTGTACAATATGGGGTCAGCCGGAATGTGACTATACTTGAATCATCCTTCAGATACATTTTACGACATAATATCTTATCTGTATCAACTAAATTCAACCAGAATACCTATATGTCTTTCACTCTGCTAACATAGATATATGATAAGCAAATAGAACAACATATAACGTCATCGTCCACAGTTGTACATCAAATCAGTCTGTTACACTTCCTTACAGCGTTAAACAATAAAAGAAATTAAGAAGAAAGATAGTTAGATTCACACAATAATTAAAGAAAACATTTTGATAACTAAGAAGAGAAACTGAGACCTTGAATGATATTAAGATTTTGTAGCTTAGTAGATAGATCATTAGGTCAGTAATCTAGATTGGTGTGTACAAATAATTTATTTCATGTACAGCTTTGATAACTACTGACCCATTATACTGTATTGATAACTGTCCCCAACACCTAGTCAAAAAAAGAATATCGAAATGTACTCAAGTAGCCACATGCATCTTCGTCCACTAGGCAATAAGCCACATATATTATATTAGGGTTTAGGGTTAATGATAGTACCTGATTGCCATGACTTTTGTAGGTCTTGGTAACTTCAGCAAGAAAAACACAGGTCGATAAGTCTATGTTGATTACTGTCTACATTTTGATCCAGCTACTGACTATCATTCTAGGATACAGATCTTTTCGACAAAATATGACAAGCAATACAATATTTGGCACGATTATATCAAACTTGGATTATGTTTTTTTTAACTGTTATTATTTGTCCCTTGGGTTCCTAGTGGAACATAGGGCTTCAGTAGCACGTCTTCACTGCACTCTCTTCTCTGCTGTCTTTTCAACCTGGCTCCACGACTGCCCATAACCTTTCATTTCTTCCTCACACAATCTCCTCCATGTCACCCTCAGCTGGGACACCCAACTCGTCGCTTCTCATTTGACTTCCACTCGAGGACCTGATCTGGCGTGTGAGATATCTCCAAATGGTCTTCTCAGTGTATGTCCAATCCAATCCAATCGATCTCCACTTTCTTCTTCTGCATATTTGTTTGGTGATGAGTTGTTGGTTGGTTGGTTGGTCGGTCGGTTCGTTGGTTGGTTCGTTGCCAGCCAACAAGCCAGTCAGCCAGAGTTGCTTGTTGCTTATTCTTACTATTCAATGTCAGTATGGAGTGAGTGTATGTGGTAGTTGTTGATGTGATGTATGTCTGCAGGTTGTTGTAAATGGTTTTCGTAAGGTGCCAAGTCTGAACTATCACATGGAAGCAGTGACTGACTTGAGTGATATTAGTGTTGAAAATCCGGATCTTGTAACCATTCTGATGACGCCGCTTTTTATCATATATTTTATGTTCTATTGGGCGTCCGAGGGTGACATGAAGGAAATCACGTGAGGAAGAAATGAAAGGTTATAGACAGTCGTGGAGCCAGGTTGAAAAGACTTCAGAGAACAGAGTGTAATGGAGACGTGCTACTGAAGCCCCATGTTCCACTAGGAAGCCATGGGAGAAATAATAATAATAATAATAATAATATGCTTTTAATGGATCTATTTACTTTGTTCTTTCAATTCCAGCTTTGTATTGTACACTTGAAGACGCTAATTTCAAATCATTATCCGGATATGTTTATTCTGGCATTTCAAATATTACTACAAAGTGAATTATTTTCTTTATGTTTATCACCTAGCTATTATATGCAGATGATATATGTTATCATTTAGACAGTATTCAATCACAGATTCACATCAGTTGGAGAACCATTGAAACAGCAGGAGCATTGGAGTTCGATCCTCGACGGGGTCGTAGATGCATGTCGCTGAGGAGTCCCATGCTGGTACGAAACAGCTATCCAGTGCTCCGAGATTTTCAATGATTCTCTAACTAATGTTAAACTAAATTCTGAGGGAGTTGTGGAGATTTGGAAATATTTCAAGCTATTATTCGTCGTAGACTGTTATCAGTTGGAGGAACAACTCCCTCAAAGTTCAATTGAACTGGTGCTCATTGCTGACTAGCTTCGAGAGGTATTCCCAAAGTTCCAATGAGAAGTCATGACTGATGGGGGCAAAGCCTGATGGTTGTGAGGACAGTTATTCAACTATGACATTGGGTGGCGGTTGCGCTATATATCATGAGCTAACAGAAGTTGGAAATATGGAGCATTAGATCCCGACCCAGTGGCTCAGTGGTAACGCGCTGGCCGCGGGACCCCCGCTGGTGGGGTCGCGGGTGCGCACTGCTGAGGAGTCCCATACTAGGACGAAACAGCTGTCCAGTGCGCTCACAGGTCTCCTTTGTTCCTCCAACTGATGTCAGTCTACGATGAATAACAACTTGAAATAATGTTAAACTGTTATGAACATTATCTGAAAGACAATACTAACGGGTTTAATGGTTAGCTGGGATGAGAAGTTTTGTATATGTTGTGTTGTTTGTTTGTCTATGAGTAGCTATAATTTAAAGTTCTCCTGCTGTTCGAAATATTCATCCGATAGATGTGAATTTATTCATATATCAATAATTAACGGAGAATAGAGTAATTCGAAGATAATTATCACTATGGCCTATCAGATATCGTTTAGCGGACCACTAAATTTCAGGGGATAAAAATGCATATCATAGGACGTCGTATGATTAGTGCATGAGTTGAAGATCCAATAATTGGCAAATATAATTTATCCTACAGTCTCTTAAATTTCTACTCCCTGTAAGCGTGACTGTTTGAATAATGATATTACAGACGGTTAGAATGTGGAATATCTACCTCCTAGAGACCCCTCTTCATAGTTTATAATGAAGTGAGAGACCCTACCGAAAATACACTTGAGGGGTGGAGGGTCCTAACGACTATAAACTTTTAACTCCTTAAAACACATTTAATAATCATAATAATTCACTTGATTCCAAACAATTTGTGATACAATTCGGAATTCTCAGCGTAATATATATTGCAATAACAACAAAATATAAGTATATACATACTACTTTGCAGCCTTTTGAATTGTTTTATTATAAAAATTTAAGTTATGTGAAGAATATTAAAAACGAGAAAATTTTGCATTGTAAGTTAAATTATTGAAATGAGATTTTTAACTGTCACAAAGTTGATGTGTGATTTCTGTTCTAACACTTTTTTCCTCACAAAATATGCGTGCAAGGTAAGGTACAGTCGAATTCTTATACTTAGCTGTACGAGCATACAGTCTTATGTAGTTTCTCCTTGTCCTCCCTGAGGAGATACATGGAGAGAGCTGTAAATGAAGTGGATGCTCACTGTCAGTTAAAATTTCTGTAGCTAGTAGCTTGCAGGAATTTATATGTCGATCAACTACAGTGTTAATCAGTTGAGCCAGAGACACACCACTCACCCTGCTGACGGTCTTCAAAGCCCTACGCAACATAACATAGTCCTTTTTAAGAAGACCAGGAAAGATTAATGGGGAACAATATAGAAGAATAGGTAAAATGCAGGAATTAATAAATTGTAAAAGAAGCAGTTGAGTTATACCAGAAAGCCTCAATTTCTTTACGTAATAAGTTAAACGAAAGATTTTTTTACAAGTCAATAAAATATGGGACGACCAACAAAGGTCAGAAGTAAAACGCAACCCAAGATAGTTCACACTCGATTTACTTTCTGCAGAAATACCATTGATGCAGCAGGCGTCATGAGATTTAAGCAGCTCACATAAGTCTTGTTTACGCCTGAGGCTAAAATTAACGGTCTGACATTTAGAGGGGTTTAGTTTGAGACCATTTGAGAGAGACCATTTACCAACTTCAGACAAGAATTCATTTAATTTCGAGCAATCCAAAGAAGAGTTTACTGGAATAGAAATCGTCAGGTCGTCAGCATACTTGATAAAATTAGTTTCAACAGAATAAGGCAAATCGTGCAAAAAAAGGAAAACAGAAAAGGAGAAAGTACAGCACCTTGAGGCACACCAGCTTCAGTAAGCAATGAAGTGGAGCGCATCCCTTTATGAATAGTGTACTGTTTCCTTTCAGAAAAATAAGAATGCAGCCATTTTGTAACCCATGGATCAGTGTGAGCTATGGCAAGCTTATTTAACAAAAGTGGTCTAGGAACAGAGTCAAAGGCTGATGAGTAATCCAAAAAGGCACAACGGACATACTTAACACCTTTGTCGAGACTAGAAACAATATTATGATGCAAGACAGTAGCTGCATCTAAAGTACTCCTCCGGTGTTTGTAAGCAAACTGTTTTGGATCTCTGAAGGCCATCAATGAAGGCTCAATCACAAGCAGAAGTAATTTCTCCATTGTCTTCAGAAAAGGGGAAGTTATAGCGATGGGTCGAAAAGTAACATCTGATCCAGAAGATGGCTTAGGCACAGGTACAATTTTTATCTGCTTCCAAGCAGTGGGTATTATGTTTTTAGAGAACGATACATTGAAGATATCTGTAAGTGGATGACACAAAATATCTGCACATTTTCTAAATATGATACTAGAAACACCATCAGGACCTAAGCTTTGGGAGGGATTCAAAGACTTTAGACATTTAAATACATCATTTGTATTGAAACCTGGAAAGCAGCTATCCACTTGATTTTGCACATTAGGAAGGGTGAAATTAGCTTGCCGACGTATAAATGACTTGTTTAACGCGCAGACATCCGAACGAGTTTGTGTTGTCATCTGTTTTTTACCAGTAAGCTCTTTAAATAATTTCCATATATTGGAAGAGTTCTTACACGATAAGAACTTCTTGTTGTATATAGTATTCAGACGTTGTATTTCAGACTTAATTAGGCAGTTAAGCCTTTTAACGCCAGGGTGATCTCTCGCCTTATACAACCTTTCCTTTTCTCTCCGAAGCCTCTTGAGATGAGGAGAGGAAAGTCTGTCAAATCTCATGTAAATTGTTTCAGTAGGGCAGCAGATATCGAGACAGAATCTGAGATAGCTTGTGATATTGGTAATAGTGTTGTCTAAAACTTCATCAGCAAATATATCCCAGTCCGTTTCTATAAGCATGCTTCTCAAACGTAATATATTTTCTTGTGAATAGCATCTGTATTGAACTTTCCTTGAAAGGTATGCAAAAGCTTTCTTGTATAATTTTCCGTACACTTTAGGCAAAACACGAACGATACAGTGGTCGGAATTTAGCAGTGGAGCCCGTTTACGGGCTTCATATATGCCAGGTTCATTTGTAAATGCAAAGTCTAAGGTGTTGTCAAGACGAGTGGAAAAGTTAACCATATTTTTATGACCCAATGATAATAGAAAACTGTAGTCACATGAGTTAAAATCACCACAGACAATAGACAAGGAGTTTCCCAGAACCGGAGCAGCAAATTCAGTGAATTTATCAGCAAAAGTTGACAAATCTGAGAAACTGCAGTCAGGTGTGACATACATGTTTGTGATATATATGTATTTGTATTTGCTCAAATGTTTGGGACGACATTTGATGGTAATGCACTCAATTTTTTCGTTAGAGAAGCAGAAGCATACATAGTTGGAGGACGACCAGTTAGTACTAATAAATGTTGCTACACCACCACCACATTTCTTCTTCGAAAAGCTTCGATCTTGTCGAAATAATTTGAAACCATCTAAGCAGACTAAGTCATCATCATACAGATTATGAAGCCATGTTTCCTGCAGCATTATTACACCCGTGTTTCGATAAACATTTGTGGACAAGAGTGACTGAAGGTAATCAACTTTATTCGGCAACGACCTGCAGTTTGTGCTAAGTATTTCCGGAATAGTCATTTGATCTATGGTCATACGCTTCAGAGCTCGTTGCCATCCACCGTGGTGCTTCTTCTTAAATTTCCTATCAACTTGCGAAGCGATAGGTTGTAATGATTTTAAAAACGCGCGAGAATATACAATACGATTGGTTGACATAATTAAACGATTAAAACAATATAGAAATAAGAAATTTGATGCAATATACTCGATGATAGAAAACGGTAGTCCAGAGTTAAAGCAGGCCGTCGTGACCATGAGTCATAGTACTGAAACACTATCAGTTGAGCGACTCTAATTTGGAATTCAGTTGATATTTACATGGAAAAGTTTTATTTTTATGTTATTTGATATGATTTTGCCTTCATTTTAAAGGCTGTTATTAGAAATGTGAGAAATCTACTTCTTTCTTCTCTAGTATAGAATTGAAACTGTCTTTCTATACTGTGCATAATCCATATCGAGCAATTAAGCCTTATATAGTAATATCTATAAAATTACAAGTGTCGTCATAACAACTGAGCCTCAGCGGAAACAACGTCACTCACTGGGGTGCAGGGTATATCCAGCTGACGAATCCCAAATAGGACGAAACACGCCTGCTTGATCTCTCTGCTAGTCACCAAGATCAGTATCACGTTTTTTTATCATGATTTAACTATCTGAGATAGTCGTAGTTTGACAGACTAGTATTTGTACTGAGTGATGATTGAAGGTGAGATGAAAATTTGGAGCGCGACCGGGTTCGAACCAGCGACCACTGGGTTAATTGTGTCACTAATATGACGATAGAGAGAAAAGAATAGTCTGTAGACGGAGGGGCCAATCAAAATGTAGTTTATGTGATCACGTTTACGGTAAGACACGCAGACGGTGGATCAGCCAATCAAATAGTATTATTTCAAACGGGGAATAATCTGTATGTTAGATATATTCTCCTTTGTACTTTTCTTCGATCTTTCGACCCCAACACACGTTACTACGCGTCAATCGTGTCTTCTTCATTAATTAGTTGGGTTGGGAATGAACTAGGAATTTGTTGAACATTGATGGCTGACAGTCTGTGTATCGTTAGCACCCATAGCAGTTTTCGAATTACAACAGTCACATTTTGTGTGACGAAACGCGCGTCCTGGATTCTTCTGCTAGCCGCAACCAACGAAATTACCATAATCGATATTCAGGCAATATCCGGGCATCTGCTTAGGAGCCTCTATAATAATAGAGGTCGAACGATTCGACCCAATAAAACAACGGAGAATTTCAAGTATATCAATAAATAGTAATAACTACTACCCGCTGTACAAGAAGTAACTACCGTTCCTCTGTGGTAGGGTCGGCAGAGCCCTGGCATTTGAAGAGGTGCGTACGAGGTTCGACTCTCGGTGGGGGTCACACCTCTCCGCACTGTGGTGCAGGTCCATCCAGCGGACGAGTCTCAAGTAGGTCGAAACGCGCGTCCTGGATTCCTCTTCCAACTGCAACCAACAAAATTACCACAATTCACATCTTGCTTACACTGGTTAATTTCTGAAGTATCATTCGTGTTCATTCAGGTATTTGCAAAATATTCAAATAATATAATTCGATCTACTCTACTCTACAAGTAGTATGTTTGGTATAGCTCCCGTCCTCGCTATCTTGACTCTATTCATGATATCGAGCAGATCAAATCATACGATCTGAAACATTTGGCTTTGATAGGAAACTACGCTGAAATTTTACAAGCACTTGATTTCATTCTAGGTATGAGCAGTTCATTTAATTAGCTAACCAGAATTCGGTTCCAACACTCAATGAGTTCGGCCTCAAATAACCGTCCACTGTTTAGATCACTTTGATTTAGAGTGTGAGACTCTCTGATCTATGTGAGTTGTCTATAACTGTTGATGCCAGTACAAGTTAATTGAGCAGAATAGTGATTAAATTACACTTGGTGCTTGAATTTTTTGAGGATATTCGTAACACCTACGGATTGAATATTCATTGTTGATATCGTTGTTCACTCCAATTCATACAGCTATTTCATCATTTAGTTAAAGAAAAACCTCTATTTTTTTTTTAATGTATTTTCTTTCTGTGTACAGATCTTAGTAATAACAAATGCGTTGATATATGGTTACTGTTTCAAGATTTGTTCATATCTGATATAGACACTCACTCGGGTTTTTCAAGTTTATCAATGGAACAAGTAAGATAGAGATATTTGTTTCGAAGTCTAGTTTATTTGTATGTCTATTTTTGTTGGGACTCGTGCTATTAATGTAGTCACCCTAGAAACTGCTGATATAATTAATTAGGCTGCTATATTTTATGACAAACTACCTTTCTAGCAGAAATACCGTAACTTGATTGGTTATTTCCGCAACTGCTAGGGTAGCCCTTAAAGTCGCCCCTGAAACTCTCTCTTTCCCAACCCGATTCGATTTGTGTAGCTGCATTTCGAGACTCTGTAATGAAATATATACTAAAAATAGTCAGAATTCATGTAATTGTCTCATGAGATCAGAAAAGAACTCAGGTATTCTACATTTTAAAAAAAATTCCAGTGCTTGGTTTAGGATGCTTAGTGTGTCTTTTTGGCTGCTTTTTTATGGACTTTACAAGTAAGATGTTCCCATAACCTGATGAAATGGTACCATCTAATCTATATTGTATATGGAAAGGACATCTCATTAAGGCAACCACTAAGCAAAGTAAACTTACTGTTCAGACTACATGAATTTCTTCAAGAAATTACTGTTGTTGATGTACTGGTGTGATGGTTGAATTAAGAATAGAAACCTAGGGGTAAATCTCTTTCCAAGAAATTCGGAATCAAAACGATTCTTCAACAAAAAAACTAAACTCTCTAGTTACGCTTGAAATCAAAACGACAAGGTGTCTGAAAAACGGTTCAGTATGAATAAACAATAGTGAGTACTAAATTAAAAAGCTCGAATGACAAGGTATCTGTGGGTTTTTTGCCGTCAAAGCGCTTGACAGAGAGTGCACCAAGATTACAGCATCAAAGCTGTGTATAAGGCGAACCGAAAGGGAATTTAAAGGACGCGCGTATGTTCCCATGATGAGATGAACAACTGTTCAAAGTAACATAGAACATCAGGGGGCAGTAGCACGAACTTCAGTACTATCATGAGCTGGGAAGGGTACCAATATCTCGAGATGTTAAATGATGAAGAAGATATGATTGAATAGAATAAACAGATAACGGGGTAACATTATGACAGCATATGAGTTATACTACTCAACAATAATAAGTAGTATAAGACTAAAGATATAAAAAAGGATACAAAGTTAACATTACATGGAGTAAGCGAGATTACAGTAGGAAATGAATTAACAATAGGTTATGTCAGGGTTTAAACCCGCAACCTCCGAAATGCCAACTATGCTCGAAAATAGATTCAACTCTAATTATCATACTCATGCACTGAAAACATTGTCGAACCAAAATTACCTATCTCCAATTGTCTGATTAATAACCAATTTGTATGATTGTCTTTCTGATTCAACTCGATTTTCATTGTGTTAAGATTTCGACTAAGCTGAACAGTTAGTCGGAAAACTGAAGAACACTTATTGTTAACTAATCTTCATGACAGCTGGGAGATTCTGTTGGTAATTAAAGTGAAGTGAAAATTGCGTTTGCAGTTGCTGGAGCACAACTAATCCCCTAGTTGAAATCCTACTGGAATATAGTTGCCTTAAAGAGAAGACTTGATCAAGTCATTTTCTTTTCTTATTGTTGTTTACTTCTAATATGTTTACCTTTTCTTCAGTTAACTCAACTGCTGACACAAGTACATCGAGAAATGTCATCACCTATTACTACTGCTGCTGGTAGATCATCAGTTAAATCAACAAAGGATACTATTGCATCGTCTTCATCAATATGCGATTCACGTAGTCATGTTCTGCTACCTAATGATAAATGCTGTTCAATGTTACAAAGCAATTGTCCACAAAGTGTACAAATTATTATCCGTGTTCTAACAATATTAGCCTGTCAATTATGTGAAAAAATTGGCTGTTGTATATTAAATAATCATTTGTCTATACAAAATGGTAGGTTGTTGTTGTTTACTGGAACTGAATTAATGATCGTTTAACCGATGAGTTAACATGTCTTCTTTTGTGTTGTTAAAGATTCAACAACTATAGTGGTTAGTTCTTTTCTATCGGTGTAGTATTCATCACAAAATGATATCAGTTGGAGAACTGTTGAAATACTTGGAACACTTGACAGCTGATTTATCTTGGTATGCGATTCCTCAGCAATAAACATCCCACCCAGCCAGGGATCGAACTCATGATTTTCAGGTCACGGGCGAACATGTTAATCATTCATTTACTAGGTCAGAGTTAACCAGTTCGCTGTTTGCTATTTCTATTATTTTGAGATGTAGCATGACTATCCACCAAAGTCTTCAGTAGGTATCCGCTTCACTTCCGACTGGCTGACCCTATAGGTCACGGCTTCTCGTTAAAACTTCGGGATATCCATCTCCAAGCATGTTATTAGTGAGCATAAAACAGCAATTGAGTTTAAGGTTCATGGGGATTTACTTTTAGGGTTTTATTCATCATAGACTGACCTCATCATTGAAGACCTGGATGGGTAGTTGCTCTACATCGTAAACTGACAGAAGTAGGAAACTGTGGGCTATTAAACTCCACTGAATGGTTAACGCATTCTCCGTGGAACCTGAATGTCCCGAGTTCGACCCCTGGCAGAGTACTTCTGAGGAGACCCGTACTAGAAGGATACATCTGTCCAGTGCTCCCAGATTCTCAGTGATTCTTCAACTGATGTCAGTTCTTGATGTATACTATCCTTTATAAATATAGGCACTGGATTTTAGACCGATGGGTCTAGTGTTCTAACAATGCTTCAACTACTTAGTTCTTGATGTGACTCATGGCTAGCTGCACAAATGTGTATGTGGTTGCCCGTAAGGCAAACTAGGTGTAGTTTTGACTGGTCTTCAGTTTGCCTTATCAAGGTAAATACAACATTACACATGGTACTTTGGGTTTCGGTATTAGTTATTTTGTTAGCCATATTACTTTTAACTTCCCTTTTAAGTGAATTGACAAGTACTGCTGGAATCCATTTTAGTGTAGGTATTTCCTAAGGTGTTTTGCTGAAGATTTTTCAGTTTCTATACTCACCCCCGAGTTTACAAGAGTATAAGTGGCATTACAATTTTGTTTGTTATCCAAATCACTAGTTAAATTCTTTTTTAAAAACAGCTTATCATATACTTAATTTACAAGCTGACCATAGAACTGCAACTCTTAGCTGTAACTTGCTTACAATGGCGTTTAGTGTTCTTAAAATTAATCCTAGGATGACTCGAACCTAGTGAGTTGTTTCAGTTGTTGAATGAAAGCGTAATCGAATCGTTCTTTGGTTCATTTTCTGACTTTTTTTAAAAAACATTCTTCAAATAATGTGGACTGTTCACTGATTGAATGATGTCTTGATCTTGACATTGAATTATGAATTATTATCTCAACGTTTTATTCACTAGAACAACTACCAATACGGAATGACTCAAGAAGAATCGAACTTGTAATTCTAATCAGTTTATTCCAAGCTATAGCAAAATTCCAGGCGATCAGTCAGCGTAATAAATACTTGCTTTTTTATAGTAACATTGGTCACAGTAGCATTGACTCAGCTGTATTTTAAAAAACAACCAATAGGATTACAGTATCAGTCTTACTAGCATAGAACATGAATAACCAATGAGAATTATTTGATTACACTTCACTGATTGGTTAATGCATATCGTGATGAATACAAAATTAATTTGACTGTTGAATGATACTTGAAGTATTATGCATGTTATTTTAACTCTTTTAAGACAATGTTAAACAAGAAAACTGGTAAGTAGGCGATTTTTTTTAAAAAAAGTTATATAATATTCACGACCTCTTTGTCTTTCCCGTAATAATATATAGGTCAATCAATCATTATAGACATGTTAGTACAAGTGTTTGGTTTGATTTTACAAAGGTGTATCCTATTGCGATATGATGGAAAAATAAGTAATTCAACTGTATCAACTACAGTTTCACCCACATCATCATTCTCACCATCACACATATTGTGTCTATCGCCATCGTCGTTTGCGCTGTATGCAAAGTGTTGTCTAAATGCATTCTCTGAATGTCTCAACTCTGCTATTAAAGGTGAGTGAAAATTTCTCTTTTGTACCCTTATTACTTGTTGGTAATTGTAATCCTCCATCCATCGTATTGAACATCGTGCCTCAGTGGGTAACATTTTCGCGTTTGAAGCGATGGACCTGACGTTTGGGAATAACATCACTTCCTGGGGTGGAGATACATCCAGCTGACGAGTCGTAAATGAGACGAAGTGTGCATCTTGAATCCCACTGCTAGCCACCAACAATAAATATTTAGGCAATATCAAGGCATCCGTGTAGGAGACCAATATAACAGCGGAGAATTACGAATATCAGAAAAGAATGATAACTAATCCTCGTTATATGAGTCAACTATCGTTCGTCAGTGACCTAGAGGACAGCGCTCCGGCATTTAAAGCTATGGACATCGGGTTTGATCCTCAGCAGAGCCAACACCACTCACTGGGGTGCATGTATGTCCGGCTGACGAATCCCAAGTAGGAAGAAACGCGTGTCTTGGATTCCAGTACCTATTCAATTATTGATTTGTATACCGTTTCCTTCTTCTCGTTGTAAGTATCTGTATGTGAATTTCTTTTCAGCGCAAACTAACCAAGAAGGAGAATTTTTAAATATTAATTGTGTAATTAAGCTTTTGAACTAATGGCTTCTGATTGACTAGCTCCATTGAACAACTCAATTCTATTTCAACTGTCATATGAATGAGAGATATGTACCTGTTGGTACTTTGCTTCAATAATTACTTCTTTTCAATCACTTCTTATTCCAATCGAATCCATCTGTGAAGTGGACAAGGAAGCCAATAAGGAACTGTGGTCGATGTGTAAAGTGATTGGCTGAAACACCTGTCGATTTTTGAATGGAGACGATGGTGTTTATTGAAGGCATAATAAGGTCTACTTAGTGGTAGAATTCAGATGATGAGTGTACATTTGAGTTTCTTACAGTTTTAACTTTATTTGAGAAGAATATCATAAAGATCAAGACAGGTGTTAGTATGGATTAATTGAAACTGATATTCATCATGAACTGATATCACTTGGGTAGCCGCTGGAAATCTGGTAGCACTAGACAGCTACTTTGTCCTGGTATGAGACTTCCCTGCGCTGCGCACCCATGACCTCCCCAGGGATCGGACTCAGGACCTTCAGGTTCTGTGGCCAGCACTTTACCATTGGGTCACCGGGTAAGAACCCAATGATCCATATCTCCAACTCCTGTCACTTCACGACATAGCGCTACCACCATTCAATGTCATCGTTGAGCATTTTCCCTCATGTCTACCAGGTTTGCCCCACCGGCCACGACTTCTCACTGGAACTATCAGGAATCCCCTCCCAAAGCTAGTCACCAATGAGCTGAGGTGTCGCATACTAGGACGAACTAGTTGTCCAGTGCTCCGAAGTTATGTATGTTCCTCCAACTGATGTCAATCTATGATGAATATCAACTTGAAATCAATCACTAAACCTCCAAAATTCAATTCAGAACTTTAAAGTTTTGGCGTATTTTCGATTTCTTTGTACAGCTTGTCCAACTGAAAATAATCCAACTTGGTCAAATCAACTCATTAATTTATTTCTAATATGGTTCACTTCTACAACCTGCATGTTGAATAACTTTCCATACAGTGTAAAAAGTGTACAACCATCTCCTATATCTTCTAGTGCCACAGTAACAACAACAACAACAAATTCTACTACTACCTTGAATACTAATTTGAATGCCTATACACAAGTGCATAGTAAAATTTGTCTACCGCTTATCATCTATTCATCAATAAATGAAGAAGGTGGAGAAGACGAAAAACAATCTGTTCAACAAAACGAAGATGATGAATCGACATTTAAATGGTATTTGTCATTCTCAGCTGTAAATAACATCTGGAGACCGAATTTGGATTGTTTAGATGCAATGATTATGGTTGGTTCTCAATTATTCTTCCTTTTTGTTTGTATTCCCTCTCTAACTAATGAGAAGTGAATTGTATACTTAACCAATACTGCTCATAATTCACATTGAAGTCAGCTAAACATCAGATGACTATTTAGGCTAGTTAAGGGGTGATTGTGTCAATAATGTTTTCGAATGGATTCAGCTTTGATAGAGTCGAACTGTCTGGACGAATCACCCACCTACACATGGTACCAGAAGGACAGGTGATGCATACAGTCATTTCAGATTTTTACAGAATACTAAGTCCATGATGAGTATATTCATATGATTAGACGTGATGCAATTGTCAAGCTTTACTATAGTTTCTGAAACTAAAGTGTTCACACCACCTTATGGGGTTAGCATACTTTTCATGTATGTTTTAAACTACAGTGGAATAAATATTCAGTGATGAGTATCGTCAGTAAATTAGGAATCAAACGTAGAGTCCTAAACAAAAGAGAGGTTGGGATCTCTGTTACTCACACCTCATCACCTTCCCCCTTCCCCAACACAATATGCTAGTCGAAGTTTTTTAGGCTTTTGAACAGCTGAAGGTGACCAGACTAAAACTTGGCATCAATCTATGAAGTCGGTGGCTGTTGGTCTGATTCCACTCAAGGAACGTAGACTTCCCATTTAGGATTCATTTGGCAACTGGAATTGGTGGTAGAAAGCTCTAAGTGATATGACTCAGTTGATCTCAAGGAGGCAGATGCATCTACATATTAGAATTCATCCTAATCTTCAGATCACATTCTATTATTTCGCTTACTGTCGTGTTCGCTTTTTATTCTTCTTATTACTTTCTATGATTTCTGATTACATCCTGTCACCTTATTTCTCTATTCTGAATCTTGACACCTTGTATTTTGATGTATTGATATGATCTGTCTGTCTTTCCGGCTGACTGACTGACTGACTGACTGAGTGTATATAAAAGCGGATCTAAATTCGTCATTTTTTTAGGCAGTTGCGAAGACATATATAGACTGTCAGCACTCTTTGAACTGCACAAAAGTACCTACTGATACAATTGGGAATATGAGTTGATGATGATTAATATCCAGTGATTTATGTGACATCATTTCTTTAATCTCCACATAACCTGCATGAATCTTACAGTTTTTGGTATATGATAACTGAATAGTGTCTGCTACTGGATGTGATTTAGTTTATACATTGAGTGTGATTCGTTTGTTGTATATATATGCTAAACCTTTCTCTAAAGTTGTTTCATGTTTTTCCCCTCATTACATTAAATTTTCACATTGAATAACTACTTTAATTTAACCGGGATGCAGAAAACTGAATAAATAATGACTAATCCTACTTGACTTTCTGAGTAGGAAAACAAAAAATAAAATCTATAAGAGGAAAATTGCCTTAACCAATTCTATGATAAAGAAATTTATCAAACATTTAGTTGTAAAGCTTTTCATACTTCATGTAAGAATGGGCCCTTTAGTTTTCTAAAGATTATCACTTGGTAATACATTTTTCACATGATACAGAGATGTCCATCTTCTGGGACAATAAACGATAGCTCAGGTTAGAGAACATTCAAAGAAGGCTGCGTGATAGACAAACCAGAATATAGCATTTATCAGTGAACTCTGTCTGTCTGATTGGATTGGTTTGAGCGATGAAAAAAAAGGCATATTATTTTTGGTGATATATTCTGAAGATATTAGAAATCAGATGTCGAAATCTTTGGCATAGTATGACATTCAGTCCCTTATTGCTCAACATGATACAGCATCATGGAACATTTGTAATTTGGATATTTCATTGTGGATGCTTTGTCAATAGACTGGGTGACTCGATTCACCTGATGAAATGGGTGCTGATAGATTAGCATAACCTATTGATGAAACATTCATGGCTGAATTTCTCAGTTTTGAGAACACTCAGTAATTATCACACTCTCTATCAATTTTCTTTTCCTTATACTTCTTTCTATCTCCTTTTCCACTGCAATGTCGTTTTTTGCTATTCCTTTTCATAAGAGATAACTGTTTAGCATATAAATGACTCATGGTTCGCGTCACAGACCAATGATTAGTGAGAGAATGATTGGAATCTGGAGATCAATGGAACTTCACTTCAAACCCCTAAAGACTAGATTGAATAGTAACTTAACGCCTATCAGTAAATGGTCTCGAGATGAACTTCGTGAGGTGTGAATAAGGATCTGTTATGTGTATCGCCAATGATGTTTAGGTCGACTCGTTTTTTGAGTTGTACTTTCGGTTGGCAAACGTTTCACTGTCATGGTAGCCGATGTCACCAGTGCTTCTCAAGGAGGTGAAGAAAAAGGAGCCAAGTAATAAGATTAAGATGACCGTTATCACTTTATTTGACCAGAAAATATCAGTCAACCAGATCAACATAACCTTCTTCAGTTCACTCAATTACAATGAAGCGATGTCAGCGTACTGCATTCATGCAAAAGTCAACCAGTGGCGTAGTTTCACACTCTTCCGAGGAAGCTGAAGGCAGAATGTCACCCAATCAGGTTTAGCATACGCCCACACACTCATCAAATTGCCAATCAGGTTGAACTCAGCCAAAAAAGTATGCTATAACAAGTTATGCATGGTCAATTCACTTCACTTCCTTGTGAAGTATTGTTGACGATATCTAGCGGGTAACTGAAAAGTTTGCCAAACAAAACCTTGACTCAAAGAACAACTCACTCTGAAAATGCATATCCTAAGCTACAAATAGTCACCATCGTTTTCCGAGACTAGTATTTCAAGTATCTTGACAGATGCGCACGGATAGCATCGCATGATATTCACGCTATGTCGAAGTTGATTGAATGCCTGAACTATTGCATTCTGATTGAGAGGGTAAATGGTAACTTTTTATGGGATCTGTAAGCTATAAACTCTATTTTATGTGGCATTCGGACTGAAGTCTTCCAAAGATGTTGAAACCTAATGATTATCCAATAGTTCATTTTGCAGGTTTGTATTCATCATGGATTAACATCAGTTGGAAAAATATTAAAAACCTGGGAGCAGTGGACAGCTGTTTCATCCTGGTATGGAGTCAGTAGTCTGGACCCATTAACCTACCGGGATCGAACCCAAGGCCTTCAAATTTCGCGGTAGACACCTTACCATTGAGCCACTTCTGTCAGTAAAGCGCGACCCACATTCATCACTGTTTTTGGACACTTGTCCTCATGTCCGACTTGGTTTTCCCTCACCGTGATCATCACTTATCATTAGAACTTGGGGAAATCTCATCTCGAAGCAAATCATTCATGAACACTGGACAATAATTCAGTTTCATTGATCTCAATCCCTGGCGGGGTTATTGGTGCCCACTACTGAGGAGTTCCATACTGGGACAAAACAGCTGTCTAATGCTTTTAGTTTTCCAATGGTTCTCCGACTAATGTCATTCTTTGACGAATAGCAACTTCAAATTATCCAGTGCTTACTCATTCTCATCGATTCTCCAACGGATATTGCCTGATGAAGAAAACTATCTTTGTTGAAGGGAAAAAGAATGCTAACAAATCAGTTGGTTGTGGTTAACTTAGAAATATGAGGGATCTATTTAGTAGGATTGCTCAAACTGCACAATATTAGGAATGAAATTAGTAATAGACGCATCGATGTAAAATATCACTTTCCTTTTCTAACCTTTTCCATGATGCCTAGATTGGATAAAATATAAAAAACTGTTATTCTTATCATTATATTTATACTGGGTGATGATTGAAGGTGAAGTGAAAGTTTAGACCGTGACCGAATTCGAACCAGCGACCACCGGGTTTCTGACCCGGTGCTCTGTCAACTGAGCTACGAGGCCAGAAACCCGGTGGCCACTGGTTCGAATCCGGTGGCGATCCAAATTTTCATTTCACCTTCAATCATCACCCAGTAATAATACTGGTTTGCTAAAACCACGGCTACTTCAGGTAGTTAAAATTATTATGATTATTATTGTTATATGCAAAAAGTTTATTCATTTACTTTTTGTTGCGTTTTTCTCTCCATCATCTTTCGGTACTGCACCATACGTTTACACTCAGATGTTGATGAACTGTGATCATTTTGTCAATAGTCAATTTATGAAAAAATTAGCCTCAAGTTTTATTGTCAGCCTACTTCATAATGTTCAATGGTGGTATGATCAAGATACTTTAAAGAACCAATCAACTGAAGTGCCTGAATTACGCAATTGGTTGATGATTAACTTGAATCCATCCTATCCACTTGAAAAGTCAATGATTAGAATTGATAAAGCTTATGTTAATTCATTAACATTTTTAATATTGTTGATTACTTCAGGTCTACAAGTGCTCAGTCATAAGTGTGTAAGTTGATGTAGTCTACTATATAACCAATTTTTCTTCATTTATTTTTCATTATTTTTATTCCAATTATTCTCCTATCCTAGAGTGTAAAGATGGATAGTGGCTAACAGTGGAATTCAGGATGCGCATTTCGTCCTGTTTGGGACTCGTCAGCTGGATGTACCTACCTCCCAGTGAGTGGTGTTGTTCCCACCGGGACTTAAGCAATTATCCTAGAGTGTAATACTTTAAAGGAAATATACTTCTTATCATTTGATTATCTGAGATAACCGCAGTTTGACAGATGAAAATCCGGCCGCAGTCCAAATTTTCACTTCACTTTCCACCGTCACTCAGTGTAAATATATGTATAAAATTTTAATTAGGTAGAAAAATTCTACTGAGAATAAAACCTCTACAAGTTATCGACTGTTTAAATAGTAAATGGACACAATCCAGATCATATTGTTCACACATGATAACAGTGACATGAGAATAAGTGTCAGGAAGAATTGACCTTTGTCGAAAACTGTCTACACGAAAATGGTTACCCACAAGTACGGTGGGATAGGAAGGAAAAAGATTAAGTACATTACAGTTGACAAGACGCCCATCTATATACGCTTTACCTTTAAAGGGGGATGAAATCGCCGCAAGGTAATGAGTCATAAACTGAGTACTAGAATAAAAATCATTTATCCAGCCACCAATTTAAATCTGTGTGTATCAGACTAAATACTCATTGAGACAGTGCAACTCCAACTATATCTACCGATTCATATGTATGCACCAAACCACATACATCGAAAGAACAGAGAGAAGGGTTCTTATCTGCATTTCTGAACTTGAGTTTTCAGGGTCCCCAAGATGACTGTCGTTTGGTGTCTTTGGCTGAAGACAGAGGAGATTTTACTGCATTAACTGCAACCAAATCAGAAGATTGAGATTTATGTTTCACCATAGTTGTGTCATGCTTCAAATTGAGTAGGCATTGACTTTCTATTGTCATCATCTGTAAAGTTATTTTGAGATGATAAAATTCTGATTCGAACATCAGAATCTTTAAGATTCTTCAGATCAGAAAATGAAAATTAGACATTTAAAGGGATTGAATATCATTTCGTTGACTTGGAATCGTTTGTATTCATGATTGACTTCACCAGCATAGACTATATAATCTTCAGAAGGTAATTTGAATAATTGAAAGCAATGATATTGAATATTAAATACAGAGGATTATTCGACAAAAATTTCAGATAAAATATTAATAGTTTCATCAAGTGATAACACACAAGGATTTTTCGGTAGAATAGAATTGATATATTTGTTGTATTCGACGTTGACAAGTTTTCGTAATAATAATTGAACTTTGGCTAAATCATTAAACATAGAGTATTCAATACGAAAAATATTTTCATTTCGATTAAACCATGAATTAAATATGAGACTAAATATTGGATCATAATTAAACTGACTAACATGATTAAAAAATACCTTCATATTTATCTGTATGAGATGCTGACGATGAATGGATTGACAATTTCTGTATCAGAGCTTCGGTTAACTTCAGTTGAAATGTTTCATTTTGAGTTTGTTGGAGTTACAAAATACTATTGATATCATCTAGTAAAATAGACATGGTAAAATAGAGAAAATCAACATCCGTTGCAAATTGAAATGACTGACAGAATAATGCAAAGTACGAGGACGCTACTAACGCAATAAAATACTCGAGTTGGATATGAATAGCGAATGTCCACTGAACCATGAAAATCAGAAGACAAAGATCGACCTGGAACTGTAAGAAAGGCAACTTTATTTGACAAAGAATAAAGCCACTAGATCAGAAGTTGAATACTTATTTTGATTGGTCAAGAGGAGGACGAAAGCGTTCAATCAGGTCTTTCCTGACTACACAATAACATGAAAATCAAAACTTCTACTGTAGCGACTGATGACTTAGAATGTTGATTTCAATTCAGACCTCTTTCTATGATTGTCCATTTTAATTTGTCCCATGGGTTCCGAAATGGAACGTCCCCATTGCATTCTGTTCTCTGCACTCTTTTTAACCTGGCCTCACGAATGCCCAAAAGCTTCCATTTCTTCCTCACACGACCTCCTCCATGTCACCCTCGCCTCCAACGCCCAACTCGTCGTTTCCCATTTCGGTTCCACTCGACGGCCTGGCCTAGAGTGTGATGTCCCCAAACGGTCTTCTCAGTGTATGTCCAATCTAATTCAATCCAATCGATCTCCACTTTCTTCTTCTGCATATTTGTTGGGTGATGAGTTGTTGGTTGGTTCGTTGGTTCGTTGCCAGCCAACAAGCCAGTCAGCCAGAGTTGCTTGTTGCTTATTCTTACTATTCTGTCCATCTGGTCTTCAATGTCAGTTGATGTGACGTATGTCTGTAGTTTGTTGTAAATGGTTTTCGTAAAGTGCCAAGTCTCTCAACCATCATATAGAAGCACTGACTGACTTGAGTGATATTAGTGTCGAGGATCGGGATGTTGTTCACGTTTTATGTTGAGTGTAGTGCAGTGCAGTACAGTACAGTACAGTAGATCTCCACACTGACTTCAGACTAATGCACAAAGACCTGTCTTACTGTCTTTCGGATCCTAGCTTTGATGTCGTCATGTGAGCCGCCACCTGTAGTTGAAATGATGCTGCCTAGGAAGGTAGTTGAAAGAGACAACTTCCTTAAGATTTCTCTTTTTGATGATGATTATTGCTTGTTGTTGTTGTTGTTTGTTGTGTATCTATCTTCATTACCTGTGTCTTCTCTACTTTCACGTGAAGTTAGTTCCGTCTTGTTTGGCTGCCATGCCTCTTCTGCCAACTTGTTGGTTTTGGCCTGTAGATCTTCGAGTTTGTGCGGCATAGGATATTAGACATAAGTCATCATCGGCGAAATTCAAATATTGTTGGTTCTTTTCATCGGTCCAACAGCGTGTGCCCATCTTCTCGCTCCTCACGGTTTGTTTCATGATCTAGTCCAGTTGATCATAATGAGGAAGATGATCGGTGATAGTAGGTAGCAACCTTGTCTTACTCTTGTCTTCACTTTCCATTGTGAATCACTTGGCATGTAACATCCTCATATAGCATATAGCTTCTGTTGAATGAGGTTGCTAAAGGTTTGTGGCATTAAATCCGTAGTGTTGAAGCAGCAACTGCCAAATTACTTCTCGGACAACACTCGATCGATTTGATAGATTTCAGTTGACTGCCATTCTACACTCTGTTCTATGATGACGCGTAGTGTATCTTTGCAATTTGGTCCTTAAGTGATTTGTAATTCCTGAAGCCAGGCAGCCTGTTCGGTCGTAATTCTGAACTCAGAGCAGTTTTAGTCTCTCTAGTTTGATGCGGCATAATATTTTGCTTGGGGTGGACAGCAGCACGATTGCGCACCAGTTCTTGTAGACTTAGGTCACCATTCTTTGGGAGTTTGACAAGGTGTCCCTTCTTCTAGTCGGCAGGTACTCTCCTTCCTTCCTTCCTTCCTTCCTTCCTTCCTTCCTTCCTTCCTTCCTTCCTTCCTTCCTTCCTTCCTTCCTTCCTTCCTTCCTTCCTTCCTTCCTTCCTTCCTTCCTCCCTTCCTTCCTTCCTTCCTTCCTTCCTTCCTTCCTTCCTTCCTTCCTTCCTTCCTTCCTTCCTTCCTTCCTTCCTTCCTTCCTTCCTTCCTTCCTTCCTTCCTTCCTTCCTTCCTTCCTTCCTTCCTTCCTTCCTTCCTTCCTTCCTTCCTTCCTTCCTTCCTTCCTTCCTTCCTTCCTTCCTTCCTTCCTTCCTTCCTTCCTTCCTTCCTTCCTTCCTTCCTTCCTTCCTTCCTTCCTTCCTTCCTTCCTTCCTTCCTTCCTTCCTTCCTTCCTTCCTTCCTTCCTTCCTTCCTTCCTTCCTTCCTTCCTTCCTTCCTTCCTTCCTTCCTTCCTTCCTTCCTTCCTTCCTTCCTTCCTTCCTTCCTTCCTTCCTTCCTTCCTTCCTTCCTTCCTTCCTTCCTTCCTTCCTTCCTTCCTTCCTTCCTTCCTTCCTTCCTTCCTTCCTTCCTTCCTTCCTTCCTTCCTTCCTTCCTTCCTTCCTTCCTTCCTTCCTTCCTTCCTTCCTTCCTTCCTTCCTTCCTTCCTTCCTTCCTTCCTTCCTTCCTTCCTTCCTTCCTTCCTTCCTTCCTTCCTTCCTTCCTTCCTTCCTTCCTTCCTTCCTTCCTTCCTTCCTTCCTTCCTTCCTTCCTTCCTTCCTTCCTTCCTTCCTTCCTTCCTTCCTTCCTTCCTTCCTTCCTTCCTTCCTTCCTTCCTTCCTTCCTTCCTTCCTTCCTTCCTTCCTTCCTTCCTTCCTTCCTTCCTTCCTTCCTTCCTTCCTTCCTTCCTTCCTTCCTTCCTTCCTTCCTTCCTTCCTTCCTTCCTTCCTTCCTTCCTTCCTTCCTTCCTTCCTTCCTTCCTTCCTTCCTTCCTTCCTTCCTTCCTTCCTTCCTTCCTTCCTTCCTTCCTTCCTTCCTTCCTTCCTTCCTTCCTTCCTTCCTTCCTTCCTTCCTTCCTTCCTTCCTTCCTTCCTTCCTTCCTTCCTTCCTTCCTTCCTTCCTTCCTTCCTTCCTTCCTTCCTTCCTTCCTTCCTTCCTTCCTTCCTTCCTTCCTTCCTTCCTTCCTTCCTTCCTTCCTTCCTTCCTTCCTTCCTTCCTTCCTTCCTTCCTTCCTTCCTTCCTTCCTTCCTTCCTTCCTTCCTTCCTTCCTTCCTTCCTTCCTTCCTTCCTTCCTTCCTTCCTTCCTTCCTTCCTTCCTTCCTTCCTTCCTTCCTTCCTTCCTTCCTTCCTTCCTTCCTTCCTTCCTTCCTTCCTTCCTTCCTTCCTTCCTTCCTTCCTTCCTTCCTTCCTTCCTTCCTTCCTTCCTTCCTTCCTTCCTTCCTTCCTTCCTTCCTTCCTTCCTTCCTTCCTTCCTTCCTTCCTTCCTTCCTTCCTTCCTTCCTTCCTTCCTTCCTTCCTTCCTTCCTTCCTTCCTTCCTTCCTTCCTTCCTTCCTTCCTTCCTTCCTTCCTTCCTTCCTTCCTTCCTTCCTTCCTTCCTTCCTTCCTTCCTTCCTTCCTTCCTTCCTTCCTTCCTTCCTTCCTTCCTTCCTTCCTTCCTTCCTTCCTTCCTTCCTTCCTTCCTTCCTTCCTTCCTTCCTTCCTTCCTTCCTTCCTTCCTTCCTTCCTTCCTTCCTTCCTTCCTTCCTTCCTTCCTTCCTTCCTTCCTTCCTTCCTTCCTTCCTTCCTTCCTTCCTTCCTTCCTTCCTTCCTTCCTTCCTTCCTTCCTTCCTTCCTTCCTTCCTTCCTTCCTTCCTTCCTTCCTTCCTTCCTTCCTTCCTTCCTTCCTTCCTTCCTTCCTTCCTTCCTTCCTTCCTTCCTTCCTTCCTTCCTTCCTTCCTTCCTTCCTTCCTTCCTTCCTTCCTTCCTTCCTTCCTTCCTTCCTTCCTTCCTTCCTTCCTTCCTTCCTTCCTTCCTTCCTTCCTTCCTTCCTTCCTTCCTTCCTTCCTTCCTTCCTTCCTTCCTTCCTTCCTTCCTTCCTTCCTTCCTTCCTTCCTTCCTTCCTTCCTTCCTTCCTTCCTTCCTTCCTTCCTTCCTTCCTTCCTTCCTTCCTTCCTTCCTTCCTTCCTTCCTTCCTTCCTTCCTTCCTTCCTTCCTTCCTTCCTTCCTTCCTTCCTTCCTTCCTTCCTTCCTTCCTTCCTTCCTTCCTTCCTTCCTTCCAAACCTTCTGCAGTAGTGGTGTGAGCATGTCCGCTGTTATCTTTGAGTCTGTTTTCTGGTGGAATTCCATCTTGTTCTGCTGCCTTCCCGTATTTCAGCAACTTTATGGCGTTCAGGACTTCACTCCTGCTTTTGTTGGAGGGCTTTTGTTCTATGGTAATTCTGTGGTATGGCTGCTGGTGGTATTTTTAGACGAGTTGCAGGTGGTGATGGTGGTCGATCCAAGAGCTTTTTAAAGTGGTCAGCCCGTTGTTTTCTTTGCTTTTCCTCTTTGTTAACTAGGTTCCCTTGACTATCTCTCATTGGTTTCATCTGTATTGACCTCTTCCCTCTGATATAGTAACCTGGTTGTTTGATGTAGTGTTGTCAGGTCTCTATCTCTCCTACCTGCAGCCTGTTCTGCCTCACTTGCCAGTGTATCGTAAAAGTGTCTTTTGTAGCATTGTATTATTGTAACTTTCCTTCCTTTTGAGTTGAATCTTGCTGTCAGGATCCTGCAGGATGAGAGCCTTTGATGCTCTTGAAGACATGATATAGGCACTCCATAGCTGAGTGTGCTCGTAGTTGTCATCTGGTTGACAATATCGGGGTAGATTATTGACTCTCCAGCTGACAGCTGGGAGAGTCCACTTGCATTCTATCTGCTTCTGCAGATTCTTAACACTTCTATGCCAGACCTTCTCATCTCTTTCGCAATCTGAGTAATCTTGCTAGGTTCAAACATTGTGTGGGCATTCCATGTCCATATGTTTCCTTTTGCTTTCATTGAGACAAGACACATCGGCCAATTGGTTTCCCGAAGACCTTCACCGATGGGTATCATTTCGTCGCGAGGAATAAGTTAATTTTTATTTTTTATATTTCCTTGTGCTTTGAAGTTTCTTTAGCGGTTGGATTGGTCTTACGGGGTAGGGTTGCTAGCCCTATGCGCAATCCTCCCTCTTTATCTCGGCTTAGAATCGGCTGGTAACTAGTGAACTAGTAAACTAAGCGAGGTTGCGACATAAGATTTTGGACACTAATCATCATTGGAGAAATCCAAATATTCTAGGGTCTTTTCATCGGTCCAACAGCGTATGACCAGATGACATTTGGTTGGTCACTTTCTCAGGGAATATATATTTATATGGTGTTTTAGGTTAGTTTTGAAGTGTGCACCTCACACAAAGAATTGAGTCCGTTGGAGAATCAAAATTTATATGTGAAGAAACACTGATGTCAATATTTAGTTTTCATGATCGTGTGATAGGTGCTCATGAAAATGGATTCCCTAAAATGATGATGCTGTAACCAAAACTGAGTAGTGATCAATGAGATAGATAAAATGGTTGCTGACTTATTTTTATATATTTATTAGAAAAGACTGTTACATGTGTACAATCGAGGAATTTCATGAAACAACGTGACTTAATATTGTCGAAATAATAATATATACTTAGCCAACGGCGAAAATGAAAGTCAGCTAGCCAAGTAAACAATGATTTGCTATCAATGAATTAAATGCCACTTATCTGTACATAGCAATAGCAATTCTTTTCATTGTGTAAATCACGAGAAGATCATTTCCATTCTCTTTGCACTAACTAATGAACTGATTTGTATTTTTGAGATGAATGGGGATTTTTAATTTGGAAGTAGTATTCGTCATGGACTGATATCAGTTGGGGAACCATTAGAAATCTGGGAGCACTGGACAGCTGTTTCGTCCTAGTATAGGACTCCTCAGCAGTACGCACCCACTACCTGGCTGGGGGTCGAACTCAGGACCTTCAGGTTTCACGGCGAACGCGTTAACCATTCAGCCACTGGGTCGGTTTCCAGTGGTTCACAATTTCCAACTTCTGAGTTCGACCCCTAGCCGGGTCGTGGGTGCGTACTGCTGAGGAGTCCCATACTAGGACGAAACAGCTGTCCAGTGCTCCCAGATTTTCAATGGTTCCCCAACTGATATCAGTACATGATGAATACTACTTCTAATGAACTGATTCTCTAGAGGGGAATTGGCTATTTACAAGTAGATAATCATTCAGTTGGTTGATGTATCTGTTGTGTTTTCTCCACTTAAAACATAATGTTTCTTCTGTCCTTTTTACTTGTGTAGACAAAAATTCAATTGAAAACTATCATGGAAAATATTTTAAGTTCATTAGACTTATCTATAGTCAGTGAATCATGTTATTTATTTACTTTATCCTATTTAACTGAACAACACTTACCAGTTCATTGTGTTCTGATGCCACCTACAACTATGGAAGGTCGTTTATTCGGGTGAGTTTGTGTATACGCATATCACTGTATTTTACTATTAACCAATGAGAAGAACACCATACATTCCTTCATAATTTTGAAGCAAATGTATGTACTATGATATTTGACAACATCTCTCAGTGTCTAAACTGCACAAAGTACACTTACTATTACTATACTGGATTAAGCAATAATCTTATGAACTGCAGATATTTTATGTCTCAGTGACTTCTTTCTTAATGTAGATGATAGTCTATCAGTATCACTTTGTATTTGACTTTGAAGCCGATGGTTCTACACTTCAACATGACCATCAATATACCTTCATTGTCAAGCTTTCCATCATATTATAGATGCTATTTGATAAGTTTCTCATGCTCTAATGTTATCTAACTGAGTATAGTGATCTTCAACGTGTTAGGAAGTGATGACTATCAGTTAGGCGTAGTACACCATTTATCGAGAGTACTTAGAATGCTTTAATGTACTTTTTTCTTGCGAAGTATTCTTTTTAACTGAAAATAATAGTTAAAACGTTAAACTAGCCTAATGTCTCAATAGTCGATACACTCACTATTATTATTTGTCCCTTGGGTTCGTAGTGGAACATAGGGCTTCAGTAGCAAGTCCCCATTTCACTCTGTTCTCTGCACTCTTTTTAACCTGGCCTCACGAATGCCCAAAAGCTTCCATTTCTTCCTCACACGACCTCCTCCATGTCACCCTCGCCTCCAACGCCCAACTCGTCGTTTCCCATTTCGGTTCCACTCGACGGCCTGGCCTAGAGTGTGATGTCCCCAAACGGTCTTCTCAGTGTATGTCCAATCTAATTCAATCCAATCGATCTCCACTTTCTTCTTCTGCATATTTGTTGGGTGATGAGTTGTTGGTTGGTTCGTTGGTTCGTTGCCAGCCAACAAGCCAGTCAGCCAGAGTTGCTTGTTGCTTATTCTTACTATTCTGTCCATCTGGTCTTCAATGTCAGTTGATGTGACGTATGTCTGTAGTTTGTTGTAAATGGTTTTCGTAAAGTGCCAAGTCTCTCAACCATCATATAGAAGCACTGACTGACTTGAGTGATATTAGTGTCGAGGATCGGGATGTTGTTCACGTTTTATGTTGAGTGTAGTGCAGTGCAGTACAGTACAGTACAGTAGATCTCCACACTGACTTCAGACTAATGCACAAAGACCTGTCTTACTGTCTTTCGGATCCTAGCTTTGATGTCGTCATGTGAGCCGCCACCTGTAGTTGAAATGATGCTGCCTAGGAAGGTAGTTGAAAGAGACAACTTCCTTAAGATTTCTCTTTTTGATGATGATTATTGCTTGTTGTTGTTGTTGTTTGTTGTGTATCTATCTTCATTACCTGTGTCTTCTCTACTTTCACGTGAAGTTAGTTCCGTCTTGTTTGGCTGCCATGCCTCTTCTGTCAACTAGTTGGTTGTTGAATTCTGAGGGGGTTGTGGGGATTTTAAAATATTTCAAGTCGTTATTCATCGCAGACTGACATCACTTGGAGGAACAGTGGAAGCCTAGGAGCACTGGACAGCTGTCTCGTCGCAGTATGGGTCTCCTCAGCTATGCGCACCCATGACCCCGCCGGGGATCAAACCCGTAACCTTCGGGTTGCGTGACCAGCACGTTACCAATGAGCCACTGGGTGGGAATCCAGTGGTCCATATTACCAGCTTCTGTCAGTTCACGACGTAGCGCAACCGCCACCCAATGTCATAGTTGAATAACTGTCCTCACGACCGTCAGGCTAATCCCACTGGTTTTTGCCTGTGCGACATTAGACATACACCCATAGTTCTTTGAAATAAATTCCAGTAAACCTCAATGTTTCACTCTTATTTATGTGCTGTCACTTTTGAAACTGTCTTTAATCTTGGTCATACAAGTATTATGAGGAAAACAGTTGCTAGATTTCCATATGGAATGTAATGACAGGTGATTTTTTTTAGCTATAAGTAAACAGCCGTCGCTATTGATAGCTATTCCATTAGTTAACTTAATCCATTTCAACCCGTTATGAGCTGCGCTTATCTTGTGTGCGGTTTTATCATACTATTCTGTCTCTCAGGTCAAAGCAGATGGAGCTAAATTTGATCTTGTAGATCCATTGCTTGAAAACTGAATCAGCTACATCCCTGCTTATCATTCTCATAAGTGGTATCATAGCATCATCCACTCTTGCATCTTAAAGGATTCAGAAAATATGTATTCCTCTTGTTCTCCATTTTATAATTTATTAGAATATAAACATGATACATCAAACGAACCAAGAAATGAGTCATACAAAATAGTATAACAACATTATGAAGACATAAAGCAAAGGGGAGTGGATAGAAATAAAACAATAAGAATAGAATGATTAGAAGGCCACTTCAGTAAGGTACATTCGAAACAAAACATTCATTACTTTCCAGCACCAAAAGATAGAAGGAAGCTACAGCGTGACCGTCACCGGTTTCGATCCTGAGTCATATCTCATAACGTCCCAAGCCACTGAGGAGTTGCATAATCTCTCGGACCCCACCTGGGGATTCATGATTCACCAGCATATGCTAACCCGATACAACTATCCTTCACCCCCATGGTACCATTTCATGCACTGACCACTCCTCTGCTTCTCCCATCTAGTCCAATGACTAGCAAACAGTGGATGGTTTAAAAGGCGTTGGGATGATATGCGTAACAAGTATCCCAGCCACCAAAACCGGTAATTCCATATGACTTTACTTATTGGATGACGATCTCCGTCATGCTGAAACACACGCTAACGTACCTCACTATTACTTACACGGTGTTCCCACTGGATACGAACAATCCTACGGAGACAACGATGATCGAACATATAGAGTCACTGCACATCCTCAGATCGGTGAGGCCAGATGTCACAGGCGTAGAGCAAAACTGTTCACACCCAAACATTGTAAACTCGACCTTTTACAGTCAGGTTAACATGACGACGGCATCAAATAGTGACCCATATTGGCGTATGCTATTCTAGCTTCCGATGTGTGATCCTTTACCTTGCAAAGATACTTTGACTGAGTGTATAGATTATACGTTATTAAAATATTTATTATAATGAAGGATGTGATGGAGAAAACCGCTGTCATATGACGCCTGCATATTAGTTTCATCTGTTTTCATGTACTAATTAGTAACGTTCTAATATGAAAATGCAGCCATTTGATTATAAGTACCTTTAAAATATCGGTGGTGTTTGACACAGCTTTTGAATGTGCAATGTTTAGGTAATGCATCGGTTCTACATTCTGAGCTATAGGCGTACTATTTCAACTTGACCGCCATTATTACTTATCATTTGTTTTGTTTGACAATCTCTTTTCTTTTCTTTTCATTTCATAAAATCAATCAATGTAAAATAGTTTCTTAGCTGCTGCTGGTGGTATGATTTCTAAATCATCAGAAGTACAAACTTCTACACAAAATAATCAATCAACTAGACTCTATCCAAATATTTCTAATTTGTTGTTAGATAATCCATGTACACATATATATCAACCAATTGGAATGAATACATCATTACACTGTAAACGATTAGCCTATTTACGTAAGATAATAAATCTTTTAGGATATGCTGTATTGTGTGATAATAGTCTACCGTTGAATGAATTGGACAATTTATTTATAGCAGATAGTTTCTTGAATTCATTCATGAAACTTCATTTATCGTCGTCATCATCATCATCATCATCGTCATCATCACAATCATCATCAGCAACAGATTCATCTGTAGTATCTGTGATCTGGAGTAAAATGTTATCAATGCTGCCTAATTTAACAAGTAGTAAAAACATCAATAGAAACAGTTTATCATCATCATCATCACTGTCATCTGTAGATGATCGAAATGTTACTTCAAAATCTGTAAAAATTTTAACTTGGTTACGTATATGTAATTTGTTGTCGGAATTGGAAGCTGTTGCAGGTCAAATTGGATGGGGTAAGTTAAAGTAATACTGAATTATGAATAATATTTACACTTTCTTTTATTAATCATTATCATACTAGGTGTTTTTTTTTGAGAAATTTCAAGGGATAAAATTCATAATAATTATTCATACTTGGTTTAACCTTAAAATCAACTTTTTATCGTTTTATCGCCTTTTCTTTTCTCCAGATATCGATCGATCAGTAGATGAACCTTACCCTTGTTCATATACATGTATTAGTATTTAAGATATGTAAGATAAGAGTAGTGATAATACAACTCATTGATCATGTACAGATCTGTGTATCAAGCTGTAAACGATGCCTATTGTGTGTAAGTCTAGTGAGGCTGATTGCCTGTCTAAACACACACACATTATTGTTATGATGCGGAGTTGTGAAGATGAACGATAACAACTAACTTATTTGGTTTAGGCTAGTAGAGGAATCCACGACGCGCGTTTCGTCCCATTTGGGACTCGTCAGCTGGATGTACTTATACCCCAGTGCTGAGTGATTTCGCCCTTGTGAGGACTCGAACTTCATATCCATCGCTTCAAACCCCAAGTCTTCATCCACTGGGCTACAGAGACACGTTACCCACGTCTTGTACAACGGGTATTAGCTATTATGCTTGTTATACTGGATAGAATCGTTTGACCTCTATTGGCATATGGTAACAGTCAACAACTAAGAATCTAAGATTGAGTGGTTTGCAGAGAGAAATCAAAAGACCGGTATTCAATTGAGTTTATACTATCTCTGTTATGATGTTCATTAAGGCTGCTTTGATTCATGCAAGAAGCATTAAATCTTTGAAGTCTACTACAACCAGTCGTTTTGCTCCAAAGTTTCAGGAAAAAAGGACGTGAACCAACTTGTAAACATCAGGTTGATTGAAGAGACAAAACGTAATAGGATATTCTATTCTAGAGAGGTTTGGAAATAGCCGAGGTCACTGTGAATAGATATGTACATATTCTTGACGTTGTGGAATACATCTTCTTTTATCCTAAAGCCTTTTCCACTTGCCGAGGAACTGACCGACTATCATGGGCGAAGTCTGAAGGTTATTCAAGTTTCGACTGTCATATTTGTCTAACCAAGGTTATATCCACTCACATATATAACGCAAGTGACAGGAGGAGGGTGTAATAACCTCGAATTGAAAATATTTATTGGTAAAAATGGATCCTATTTATGGAATTTGCAATGACCTTGAAAGACGGAGAATAGTTCATTTTAACAGGCATACACCAATCAGAACACACTAACAGGTTATGTAGGATGTGATCCACGTGCGAAAAAAGAGCGCTAGGAAAAAGTTCAAAATGTAAAAAGGGTAAGTATAGAATATAAGGGATATAAGCATCCCTAATAGTTATCTATTTTTTGATAGTCAACTAAGTCACTAAAACACAGTTTCACTTGTGTTTTTTTTTAAAATAAAGAAATTTTTGAGGTAGCAGCGAAGATTTGTAACCCAGGATGAAGATGATAATTGTTTAGTGTTTGCCTCAAAGCTTGAAGAACAACAAATAATCATCAAAGAGAAAACTATTACTCTGTATACCCGCCAAGTAATAATTCCGATCTTGTAGTGGTCCTCAATCAACCAGTCTATACTACTCTACGGAGATCAGACCAACAGTCACAGACTTAATGAACTGACCCTTTTCTAACCCAATTCTACTTCAGCTAACATTGTACATCGAGGTAATTGATAGTTTGGTGTATGCAACGCCTGTCCAAGCCACCTCAGTTTCTGAAGGTTCACAATCTTATCAATAACTTGCTTTCTATGCCTAGTACCCTTTGCCTAACCTCAACGCTGCTTATATGGTGATTTTCCCATACCTGATACTTAAGAGTAGTTGCAGACCAGTTTGAACAGTTTGACTCTCTGAGCTGAATTTGAAAGCATCATCTTACATTTAACCGATGCATGTCGTATGCCAAATGTACTCAGATTCCTGCCCAAGGCGTTCAGAATACTCTGTATTTTGTTAGTGTATTTGTTTAACAGAACAATGTCGTCTGATTACTCTGAGTCGACTAGGTGCTCTCTTGGAAGTAAATCAATCGTTGAGAGGTCAGAAGTAAGTAGGGCTTTGCTGAAAAATAGGTAGATAGGGGTGGTGACAGTGTAAACATCCTTGGCAGACACTGTGGTATACGTAAGGTCTGATGAACTGAAGTCATTTATTGTGCTGAATACTGTAGGGATTTCGTCATCCTACCACTGCTATGTAAGTATATACTGACAGTTATATCAACTAGTTGCTTCCTTTGAGCACTCTGCATTCAACAATGATACCACACATAAGTGTTACTGTGGAAGGATTCGTAATCGAATCCCTGTAACCTCTGTATGTTTTCCACTTCATCATCGTCGTATACTTTGTGTACTTGGATTCATTTTTAAGTTGTAGTAATAGAATATGTATGTAATTTTCCGTTGTTTTACTGGGTTGAATTCTTCAACCTCTGTTGGTATATATAGGCTCCTATGCGGGTCCCTTGACATTGCCTGAATATATATTGTTGTAATTGCCTTGGTTGTGGCTAGCAGGGGAATCAAGGATGCGCGTTTCGTCCTGTTTGGGACTCACCAGTCAATTACAACATAATGAATCATCAAGCAATATCAAGGCATCTGCATAGGAGACCATATATCAATGGAAGTCGCTTAATTCGATCTAGTATAACAACGGAGCATTACAAGTATACCAACAAATAGTAATAACTGATACACGTTGTACAACAGATAGCTATTGTGTCTCAGTGACTTAATGGGTAACGCTTTGGTGTTTGAAGTGATCGGTATGAGGTTCGAGTTTCAGTGGGGACAACATCATTCCGCAGTGGGGTGTAGGTACACCCAGCTGACGAGTCTTGAGTAGGACGAAATGCGCATTGTGGGCCTCACTGCTAGCCATAACTAAGTCAGTATTAAAATGAGTCCTTGTTTACATAGTTTTCTTTTTGTTCTCCTTTTTATGATCAATGTAGAGCCGTCAAGTTCACAAGAGTTTAAAAAGATCGCTGATTTGTGTAGTGAAATAATTTGTTTGGTGAATCGTTCAAGTACAAGAATGGAATTTTTGTCTAAATTAGAAAAGCCTAGAATTCATGCAACTAATAAAACCCTGGTGTATATACCAGACTTTTTTGTTAATGCTATTATATTTTGGCTATTAAATGACTTAAATGTAAATACTCGATTTGGCATCAATAAAGAGTTGACTATTTTAACAACAACGACTTGTGTTTCGTCGTCGCCGTCATCCTCATCATCAGTAGATGGGGCAACGGAAATCTTTCCTCAATCGAATTCATATGGTATCGGTATTATGCCGCATTCAATCAATGCAAATCTGTGTAAACCACTTATGTATAGTATATTGTCAATGAATTCACCTGTTGATCAAGAAACAGCAAGTCGATTTGCACAATTATTAAATGCTACAATTTGGTGTATAATTGATAATGGTAATTATTTTATTTATCTTATAAATTCATGTATTTTCATCCATTTATTCATATTGTATTGTATATGGCTCATTAATGACCATGCTTAAAGATGAATATCCTGAAACTGTAATGAGAAGCCGTGCATGATCTGTAGGATCAGTTAGTCGTAAAGGAAGTGAATGCCAATTGAAGACTTGAGGTGATAGTCACGCTATATTGCGAACTGATAGAAGTTGGAAACTGTAAATCATTGAACTGCAACCGAGTGCCTGAATGACTAACACGTTCGCCGTGAAACCTGAAGGTGGTGAGCTTTGACTACTGACTAGGTCATGTGTGTGTACTACTGAGGAGTCCTACGCTAGGACAAAACAGGTGTCCAGTACTCCCCACTAGCCTCAAAATACTTTATATATATATTAATGTATGTTGTGATTATTTGTTAAGCATCCGTGTTAGTTCTCTGCAGTTTACAACAATCAAGAGGTTGTATGTTTTGTAGCTGTAATCACCTTAGAATAGTAGAATGCTTTCGTGGTCCTGTCGTTGTTTTATTTCTGATGGTATTAACCTCATCAGTTGAGTGTAACTACATGCTAGCTTTAGTTCATGAGTGAATAGGTTAGAAAACAGGTTGTAGGTATGTTGGTGATCTAGTGGCTTAGGCACTTGTTGAGCTGAAGCAACCTGGGTCTAACTCAACTTCAATAATAAAGTACAATTAAAGCGCCATACATCAGGGATGACTACTAGTCTAACAGAAAATTACACAATCTGACAACTATCATTGAAATTAAAATCTCTACTGTTATTGTTATTCACTGGACACAAAAGTTTGAGTTCTTTTCTTAACCATTACTACCGAGTGACATACAGCCAGTTTATTTGATTTTGCCATGCCTTTACATAGTCTATCCGTCGCTACTATTGTAGTGGGCGTTGCTGATCAGGATAGATATAAGTAGTATATATTGAGAGAGCGGTAGAAATCATGGCCAATTACCGGCAATGGGTAAATATTCTGCCCAGAGAAACGCATGAGACAACATGGGTGTATTAAGTACAAATCAAGATATAGGCAGAAGAGAAAATGAAGCATATTATGCAAATGACTATCTTAGTTGAAGGTGTACCATATTTGATGACTACTGTACAAGATGTCAATAATAAAAACATCCCTACCTTCGTATCCGTCTTGTCGTTTCCTATATTATTATGTCGTTGACACAGTTTCCTATTCTTGAATACAGTTGCATGTCAATAGTTCTTAATTAAAATCAAGATAGATTTGTTAAGCAACACCACAGACAATCAGTTATATAGATCGAATAATGTTGACTGATAACGTGAATCAATAGGGAGATATTGGCTTATATAAGTTTATTGATTAGATATAGGTTACCATTATGAATCATATAATCAGACGGTCAGTTTGCAAAAAACCTACAAGGACATGACAATATCTGATTTTTTAGTTTTTGTACGATCCAATCCAAGTGAGTTCTCATAAAATGTTTGTTTAATAGGATCTATCATATCTGTGCATCGGATATGAGGGATGAAGTTATCAAGTTACTTATGAAAAATAGACATTCGCTGAAGTTGATAAACCATTGTAGAAGTCAGGGAACATCAAAGCTAACTCTATACACAATTTCTAAGATAAGTGTCTATATAACTGTACCATACAAAGAGGAGTTGAATAGCTTGGTCAGTGGTTATGTCATACTCTATTGTATTTGTCAGTTTATCAGCGAAGAGTGATCAGATCATGCAATTGAGGGTAGGGGGATAACCCTGTTTATCCATAGCTAAATGGGTTGCAAAATTATTGTTCAAACAGTTGTCAAAGTTTCATATAGAAATAGTCACGGTGTCATACTGAGATTTCCGGAAGCGATAGCCACCTTTATGTGTACAAAAACAGTTTTTTCTTACACACATCTACCTTGGTAAACTTTGTGCGTTTCCACCTAGAGAGTAGAGTAGGGTTTTTATTATTGTCAAACTAAACAGTTTTTTTCTCTTTCGCTTCATGAACGTATACAATAGAACAATTTCAGCATAATCTCCTGTCAGTAGTAGTAGTTGTGTGAAACAAACTGCACTATACCTGGATACTATGCTATTTGGTCGTCTATTGCCTATATCATACCACTTGATCGATAGACGTTGGTCAGCATTTAGAACTAGAGGCGGAAATAGTATTGCTTGACATCATCCAATGATTAATACCACTACTTATTCACAGGCATATTGAACAATCTTTATAGCTTCAAACAAATTCGCCTCGATGCAATTCACTGCAAAGGGAATGAAAAGAAAAAGGAAGATATCAAGATACAAGTAAGAGGATTGGTAAAGAAAAGAGGAGGGTAGAGAAATCAGCCGCAACCAGAATAACTTGATTATAACACTTCCTTTGGCTGAGTATAACACACATTTGAACCACTAGAATAAAATGACTTTCTTTTATTCCATGCTGATCAATTTATAAACCTTCTGTCCATCAATATGGAAAAGCTACTATTCGGTTAAAGAGTGTTCAACGAACTGATCTGTTTTCAAGATAATTGATATCATGGATTAGTATCAATTAGATAACCGACTGTTTCATCATAACCTAAGACTTCTGAAGTATACATTCATAAAACCATACTGCATCCAGTCCAGAACCATCAGATAGTTTCCCAACTAGAAAGTTACCAGGCAATCACAATGGGCTGGAATACAATGATTAGTATTATTTTCCAATTTAATTACAGTCAATTTGTGATATGATATGGCCATCATTCACTGTTTTCAATGGAGATCTGTCCTGTCCATCCACCTAGTTAGTCCTACAATTTGAACAGACTTTGGTTTATGTTTTTTATGTTCAGCTTTCTTCTGACATCAGTGATTTCTGTAGCTTATCATATGTCCTCAAATTATTCTCTTCTACTAAGACTCCCTTGTTGTTCAGCGAAGATATTTCTCGCTCTATTTACCTATCCAGTAGGAGTATTACAAATCCCGACCGACAGTATCTCATGGTTACAGGTATTGTCTTTTTATTGGGTAACAATAAAAGTTATAATAATTTCTAAATATACTCTGGAAAAAAGAATCATTATTCTAGAGGCATAGATACTAACAGGATCAATGTTTCACAATATGACATTGAATAATATGTCAACTTTCATGATAAATTTTGGCTTGTTAATCCTTAGGGAATATGAAGGGGGGAAGAAACTAGTAACGACCAACACAAACACAACAATCAACAAAAATGCTTATTGTCCGTGTATATTTCAGGCGATCTTATTCCTCTGAATATATGAGTTAATTACTTGACCACAACGCACCATAATTAATACGATAGATTTTACTCATTATGCAATTATTCCCAAAGTATAAGTCATACATAAATGGATGAAAGATCAGTCGAAAGCTCTTGAACTGAGCTATAGAATAATGTAATAAAAATTAGTTGTAAGATGATACAATTAAATGACACTTTTCTATTCTTTACTCAATCAGATACAAACTGTTGTCTATTTACAAGCCATTAGAAGTCAGTTGTATACATCACTTATATTTCAAAGAAATTTATGAGTAAGTAATTATACTGAATGATGATTGAAGGTGGAATGGAAATATGGATCAGGATTCAAACTAACCACCACCGGATTTCCGATCCAGTGTTCTACCAATTGAGCTATGAAATCCAACTGTTGACCAGATTTTTTATTTCACTTGAATCATCAAGGGTTTTACCTGACTACTATGTGAATTCGTGACGCTTTACTGTTTGTTGTTCTGTCCATTAAAGTAGTTTTACTTCAAACTTCATTTTCATTTCTTCCATTGTATCAGTAGTTTCACTTATTCAGATAACTCAGGCTTCCTTTTGACTTTCAATATCATATCTATGTAAATTAACATAGTGTACTCATTAAAGTTATGTTGTATAAACAGACTGGCAGGCAGACAGATAAAATCCTCGTAGAACCATACACACAAGTGCATCACTTCAAGTTGTCACACTTCAAGGTAGTATCCAAAGAACAGGTGGATAGAATATGAGTGATATCAAGGTAGACAAAGTTCTGTAAGAGAATAAATAATTGAAAGAAAATGGTTAGTGTAAATATTCAAGCTTTAGAAGATGTCAAGGAGTAAATACATATGTACCATTGTGGCAGACTTTCAGTCATGTCACCAACTGTTCTGAACCAGTTAATTCTTTTCCTCTCCGGGATCGCAGCCAGATATCACATAATATGAATAAGGACAATAAATTGCTTTCAATTTCACTGTGTAATATTTCTAATAAACAGACTAAAATAAAATTACAATCTACCACAATCCCGAAGTTTTACTCTTAGATTAATAGTCACATAACTCAGATCAACAGTCAGTGATTTCATTGATTGATGATGCAGTGTCTTGATCTGACCATCGTGAACTCACTTCCAACTTACCCCCAGCATGGCACATTGAGGTAGGCATTGACTTGGCATGCACCGTACATATCTAAGCCATCTCAGTTGATGAAGGTTCACAATTTCACCGATTGACTTGTCTTCCTCACCTAGTACCCTTCATCTGGCTTCAACATTGCTCACATAATGATTTCACTAAACATGAACACTCACTACTCAGACACGCGTGACCAAAACCCTGTAATCGCTTTATATTTTCCACTTTTAATGACTATCTGTCACAACCGTATAACGAGAGTTAGAATAAACTGTAGTGAAGTATACTCATCCTTTAGTAGGTAAGTTGGATATTCATGGCAATGTTTTAATGCTAAGTAAATAAATGTGTTTACGAAACATCTATTAAACGTAATTATTTGCTCGGATAGGATTTACTGTCAGCAATGTAGTACCCTTTGGGATATACAAACACTTTACTGGGGTTTTGATTTCGATCAACCAATGATTTGATGTAGCTGTCTAATTTTTGAGTGGTAAGCACTTATCATAGTCTACCGATCAAGTTTACTGTGTTTTTCATTGTTATACTGTTTTGCTGTTTTCGATTTACGAAGCTCAATCTCAGTAATAACATAGTGAGAACTCCATATCTGCCTGAATAACAGTGAGGCATTTTTTTACAATAATAGGGAAATGTATAAAATGTGAAGAGGCTATGTATACATAAGAATAGCTGGTGAATAGCTGAAGTTCACGAGCTATTTATTTTTGGCCGTCAAACTGAATCTCTGGATTTGTGGTTATTAGTCAGTTGGTTATAATACATGAGCTGGATTTCCAACACTAATGTCAGTCAAGTCAGTGCTTCTATATGGTTCGGAAACTTGGCGCGTTACGAAAAACATTTCCAACAAACCACATTCATCAACAGCTGCCGCCCACACTCACTCGATACTGAAGATCAGATCAGATGGCCGGAATAATAAGAATAAGCAACAAGGAACTCTGGCTGGCTGGTTGACTGACTGACTGACTGACTGACTGACTGACTGACTGACTGACTGACTGACTGACTGACTGACTGACTGACTGACTGACTGACTGACTGACTGACTGACTGACTGACAACGAAAGAAGAACCCATCGCCCAACAAATATACAGAAGAAGAAAGTGGAGATGGATTGGATTGGATTGGACATACATTGAGAAGACCATTCGGGGATATTACGCGCCAGGCCAGACCCTCAAGTGGAACCCAAATAGGAAACGACGTGTTGGGCGTCCGAGGGTAAGATGGTGGAGAACGTGTGAGGAAGAAGTAAACGTTTCTGGGCATTGGTGGAGTCAGGTTGAAAAGACTGGAGAGAAGAGAGTGAAATGGTGACGTGCTACTGAAGTCCTATGTTCCACTAGGAACCCAAGGGACAAATAATAATCATAATACATGAGACACTGGATGAGGAATATACTTTAACTAGAAAAACGTCTGCAAGAAAATACTTAGTATCAAAATTTTATCATGAAATATGACACCTACACTTATCCTTGTGTTACAGGATATACACTTGATAAGAAACTAACATTTGTTCAGTCGGTATTCTAGGCTACAGGTTAAGCTCACCACAGACCGAAATATGCGTTCAATCAATACCTTACTATCTATTTACATATACTTAATAGGGGTATTATATCGGAAGCGACTGTGTTCAACTTCATCATGTTCAATGATATGTACGCCTTAGAGAATGAAAAAAACATCGAAATCTCAATAGTTCATAGCATCTCCAACGTGTTGGATGAGGCCTTTATAATAATAATAATAATAATAATAATAATAATAATAATAATAATAATAATAATAATAATAATAATAATAATGGTTGCTTTATTGCAAATAAAACTTGTGGTACAGTATAGAATTCTCAGTATATAATGGTCCAACAAATTCATTCCCTGTTCAATAATCTTCCAGCGAAACAGCCACATGATATTTACATTAGCATCTGGTTTGGGCTGGTGAATGAATAGAAAATCGAACGTAATCTTGATGGTGGTAGTTTATTCATCCATTACCTAAATTTGTAATTCAACATAGTTATTCAAGGAATAGTAATATACTGTATTTCTCTGGATTTATATGCCCATCTCTACGGATTTCGCCGATCACTTGTGTCTAATGTCACACAAACTCGAAGATCTACAAACAAAATCCAACAAGTTGACAGAAGAGGCAGGGCAGGGCAGCGAAGACAGGACTTCAAGTGAATATAGAGAAGACAGAGGTGATGAAGATACCCAACCAACAACAGCATCAGCAACAAACTCCAATCACCATCAACGGGAGAAACGTAAAGGAAGTAGCCTCTTTCACCTATCTAGGCAGCATCGTTTCAACTACAGGCTGTGGCAGAGACGAGGACGTCAAAACCGGTCAGGATCGGAAAGACAGCAAGACAGGCGTTCATCAACCTGAAACCAGCGTGGAGATCTTCTGCACTCAACATAAAGCGTCAACAACATCATGATTTTCAACACCAACGTCAAGCCAGACATTCATCAACAACTGTCTACCCTGGCTCGTTACTGAATCTCAGATGGCGAGAATAATGAGAATAAGCAAGAAGGAACTCACTGTGGCTGGCTGGCTGGAAACCAACCAACCAACCAAGAATCTATCACTGAACAAGTATGCACTGGTAGGAAGTGGAGATGGATTGGATTGGATTGGATTGGATTGGACATACCCTGAGAAGACCATTCGAGGATATCACGCATCATACTCTCGAGTGGAAGACAGATGGGAAACGGCGAGTTGGACTTCCAAGGAGAGGGTGACATGGAGGAGATGGTGTGAAGAAGAAATGAGAGGTTGTGGGCTGTCGTGGAGCCAGGTTGAGAAGAGTTCAGAGAAGAGAGTGGAATGGAGACGTGCTACTGAAGCCGTATGTTCCATTAGGAACCCAAGGGATAAGTAATAATAATATAACATAATATATGCGCATCTCTTACCGGCAAATAGCTTGTCTTTCGTTTCGCCATCAGCTTGAAAAACGACAATTTGTAACCATTTTAAACGTGTGCAATAATACTTGATACGTTTAAAAGACATTTATATGATTAAATCAAATTAAAGGGATAGATTTGATGAAATAAATTCTATGAAAAATTTTCAATAGCCCAATGTTTAAGCAAGCCATTAATGCTCATTAAATGATTCTATCTTACTTTACTCTCACTCAGTTAAGTTATTTTATTATTACGCTTTTTGTATGTATTCAAAGGAATTTAATAGTTAGTCTTAATTGGCTTGACAACAAGATCTGTTCTTGTGTTTCTCTCGTTTTTCTTTTTCTCTTCCTCTTTTTTAAACATTTTCAAATGCTATTTTTCTTCATTTTCAAATTCATCTCCTTTATCGTCTTACATTAGCGATTAGTATTTCCAAAAGTGTCGTCTTGATTCATGTCATATAACCTTTAGAGTCTTTGTTTGATAATGTATTCCAGTTATGTGTGTCAAACCATGTTCACTGTTTTCTAATTGATGATAAGGCTTCCAAGTATACTACACATTACTCATTTCGAATAACTGAGCCATATCACCTTCTATGTAATAGAAATCCAAGCAACTCAAGGATTTCATTGTATTCCACTATTCCTCAAGAGCAAATCATTAGGGATTCTTGTTTACTAGTTTAACTTGTACCCTACTTTCGATTACCTCGATGTTGTTTAAGTTGAATTTTGTAACTTAGTTGTTGTAGCATCATTATAGTAATAAAAATATTGCTGATTCAAATTATGCTACGGTTTATCTTTTTTCGAAATATAAATCAATTTTTTTGAATAATTGTTAACCTTTTTTTTCTTTTCTTTTGAATATTCACAGCTCCAAGTAGAATTTTATCTTGTGATCGATTTTGGAGTATATGTGAAGTTTATTCACGGATCTATTTTCAACAGAATAAATCACACTTTTTACAGTCAGATCTATTAATATCTATGTGTACACAGAATAGCCTACACTTACCTTTACTATTTATTAGTTTAAGTCGAATGGATCATTTTTACAGATTAGCTAGTTTACATCGAGAAAATGAAAGTATGCTGAATACTGTACCATCAGTGAATGAATACAATGTGATTATTGCTGATTGTTTGCATTGGTTACATTCGGTGGGGATTTGGTAAGTCTACGCTTTTTTCTCAAGGTTGTTCTTACTTATACTGAGTGAGTGAGTTGAAGAGTGAGTGTGTGAGTGAGTGGGTGAGTGAGTGAGTGAGTGACTGAGTGAGTGAGTGAGTGAGTGAGTGGGTGAGTGGGTGAGTGAGTGAGTGAGTGGGTGAGTGGGTGAGTGAGTGAGTGAGTGAGTGGGTGAGTGAGTGAGTGAGTGAGTGAGTGGGTGAGTGAGTGAATGAATGAATGAATGAATGAATGAATGAATGAATGAATGAATGAATGAATGAATGAATGAATGAATGAATGAATGAATGAATGAATGAATGAATGAATGAATGAATGAATGAATGAATGAATGAATGAATGAATGAATGAATGAATGAATGAATGAATGAATGAATGAATGAATGAATGAATGAATGAATGAATGAATGAATGAATGAATGAATGAATGAATGAATGAATGAATGAATGAATGAATGAATGAATGAATGAATGAATGAATGAATGAATGAATGAATGAATGAATGAATGAATGAATGAATGAATGAATGAATGAATGAATGAATGAATGAATGAATGAATGAATGAATGAATGAATGAATGAATGAATGAATGAATGAATGAATGAATGAATGAATGAATGAATGAATGAATGAATGAATGAATGAATGAATGAATGAATGAATGAATGAATGAATGAATGAATGAATGAATGAATGAATGAATGAATGAATGAATGAATGAATGAATGAATGAATGAATGAATGAATGAATGAATGAATGAATGAATGAATGAATGAATGAATGAATGAATGAATGAATGAATGAATGAATGAATGAATGAATGAATGAATGAATGAATGAATGAATGAATGAATGAATGAATGAATGAATGAATGAATGAATGAATGAATGAATGAATGAATGAATGAATGAATGAATGAATGAATGAATGAATGAATGAATGAATGAATGAATGAATGAATGAATGAATGAATGAATGAATGAATGAATGTAAATATGCGCATGTGTCATTGATTGATTTGAAAATATTTTCGGTCACAAACTTAAATTACTGGATTCAGTATGAGACGAGAGGTGTATCTAGTTTACTGGTCTTTAACCTTGGTTGTTTTTGTTTTTTTGAATCTCTAAGTTTTCAGTCAAGCTCATTTCTTAAATAGACATTAAAATCGCCTGAAATGTTTCAGCTTTGTAAGATAATTCAAACTTTCTCTTCTCACCGAATGACAGTATACACTTTCAGAATTATTATTATTTATTATATTTATTAGAGAAAAATGGTTTTATTTATCTTTTTTTCTTCTGTATATTTTCTCCAGCTGTATGAATGGAATTGATGACCAATCATTTCAACTTAATGGATGGATATTATTTCTTAATTTTGTTATTAATTTAATAACCACATCAAAGAACAATTCATTTACCAATGAACCATGTTGTTCTAAGCATCCTGCATGGTGTAGTCCATTACAGTTAAATGATAACAATAATGATAGTATGTGTGCAAGTGAATTCCATTGTAAACGGCTGTCTTCCATTTTAACAGAATTTAAAAATACTATTATTACTAAACTGAAAGCTAAACAATCTAAACTGACAGGAGAACAAACTAGACAACTTACAAAGTGAGTTCTTCTGTAGTGCAACTTTTGTTCTACTATTTATACTACTTGTGCTTTATAAAATAGTATAAAATATTTCAGAGAATAATTTGCACTCATTGTTTCTTGATGATTCCACAATAAATTTATTTACTATTTTGGCTGTGTTTTCTATTTTTCCATTAGGTTATATACTTTTGTCGACTGTTTATGTTGTCTTCTTGATGCATGGATGATCAGCACCTGTTCAAAAGGGTTTAAGAATTTAGAAAAATTCTGTTCGCAGTCGTCATCATCATCACATTTTGAAGCAGGAAAAATCAACAATGATACAATGAGTATGGAAGAGGGTAATTCACTGAAAGAAATGAAATCATCCAAGTTTGAATATGAAGATCATTCACTGCATGAATCCACTCCCATATCATCTATCATATCTTCACTTATAATCCGATTGAAATCGTTTACATTACTTGAAGCCTATAGATATTTATGCCTTCAATTTTGGACTGATCTCAAACCGTATGTAAAACAAATCCTACAAATATGTTTCACACCGGCACAAGTAACTCAATCATCACGGATATCGTAATGGACAGTATCATTATTGTTATGATTACTCTTCTGATGTGATTTTTCCTTCTTCTACATTACTTGACTGTATAGAGATTATGTATGCACCATTTTCATTGAACTATTGAATAGTGTATAAAGAAATTCATTTCATTTATTATTTTCCTTCAACAAGAAAAGAAAACAACACTAAGAACTTCATTATTCAATCTGAATTAGATGCCTTTCAGTCATTTGCATATTTTTTTAAAAAATAAGACAATACATGACTAGTTTACTCTTGATTTTTGAGTTGTTTGTATGTTTGTGCGTGTGTGCGTGTGTGTGTGTGTGTGTGTGTGTTGGCACTTGTTCATAAACTTTGTAAAGGGGTTAATTTATGATTGAATAATTGTATTTATTACTGTGCACAAATATGCACTGGTGTAATTGTTTATTTTTCCATTATTTATTAATATTACTATTATTTATCCTCGTTTTTCTTTTTATTCCCTGTTTGAATCAACCATCCATCTTACTAATTCAGTACTTAGATTCTCTTAAATATTTGAATATTCAGTTTGTCCTTCTTTGTGATAGTAACGAAATGCATTTTTATTTGACTTGTTACCGACTCTTTGCGTGTGTGTGTGTGTGTGTGTGTGTGCATATAGCTAACATGCCTCACCATCAGAGAGATATACAGTTATTTATTACAATATTCCATTTTCTTCTTGTTTCATTTTTTTTACTGTGACATGCACTACTTAACTGTTTATGCATTATATAAAGAATCGATTATATTAAGATGGTCCTCAGTGTTAAAACTGCACTGCCAGTATCCGGTATGTTGTCATTAATATATTCATATTGTGTATGAGAAATGAGTAATTTTGAATGTAATTTTACTGAGTTTATTTATTGATTGTAATTTTTTTTTTAAAAAAAATCTACAATGCCTCATCATTAAGCTTACATAACAACATACTGGATACCGGTAGTATAAAATGGTAAGTTAGAAATTATGTTCGCTATACGCTGATTGATGACATCGAGACTGACCACTTCCTATTGTGTTGAACAGTTCGACTGCTGCTTCTCTAAAAATTCACTTTTCTATGCTCATGAACACCCAGTGTTGTGTGGTAAAGACTATTGCTAGCTTTATATCAGTACACTTGATTGAAACGAGTCATAAGATAGATATAAGTGAGTCACTTTCCATCCTGTACTGGGTTCCCACCAACTTGTCTAAACGTACCCTATTCACAACCTTTCAGACTGCAGAAACAGTGGCAATCAGGCTGAAATGATCAGAGTTATGTGTTTAAAAGAAGCGAATATTGCCGCTACAATTGCTATGATCTGACCTGCCTCAAATAATCGAATTCCATACTCTAGATACCCCTTTATCACTATAACATGAAATAATTTTCCTTAATTCTCCTTAACCTATTTTGTCCCCTAATATGAGTAATATTCTGTTAAGCTATTATTCTGCAAATTATCTTTCTTAGTTTACTTCATCCAGCACTTATAAACACCTTCCTATTGTTTTATTAAACTATCACTTTATAGCATTCATTGCCTACGTTGTATATTTGTTTACATAATCAGTTACTTTGAATTGATTCCATTATTAACGTTAATACAACATGTTTCTGAAGTGACTTCTTCAGTCGTTATACTACTAATAACTAAGTGATATGCGAAATCTCAATATTTTCGACGTATAATTCCTCAAGATTGAACATATAACTGTAGGACCTGAAGTAGAAGTTATTGAACTTATTCTTCCTTCACTCAAACAACTCCGTTCTATTCTTAAGCCTTTAGGCCTATAGTAAACTTCATACTTCAGTGAGTGAGTCTGATTATGCCATTAATGGTTAAATAAATAAATATTTTATCTTCATATTAGTAACTACACCCATGATATTCCTAATTGTGGTGGACTGGATCATGCTACAAACTGTGACGAGCGAGAAGATGGGCATACGCTGGCTGGACCGGGGAAAAGATCCTAAAAGATACGAATTTCGCCGATGACTTGTGTCTAATGTCACACAAACTCAAAGATCTACAGGCAAAAACTAACAAGTTGAGAGAAGAGGCAGGGCAGCGAAGACAGGACTTCAGGTGAAACGTAGAGAAGACAGAGGTGATGAAGATACCCAACCAACAACAGCATCAGTAACAGGCACCAATCATCACCAATGGGAGAAACTTAAAGGAAGTAGCCTCTTTCACCTACAATTTCCTAGACAGCATCGTTCCAACTACATGCAGCACAGGCACAGACGAGGACGTCAAAGGCAGGATCGGAAAGACAGTAAGACAGGCGTTCATCAACCTGAAACCAGTGTGCACATCTTCTGCACTCAACATAAAGCGTCAACAACATCCGGATTTCCAACACCAACGTCAAGCTTGTGTTTCTATATGATGGTTGAGAGACTTGGCGCCTTATGAGTGGCATTTCCAACAAACTACAGACATTCATCAACAACTGTCGCCTACGCTCACTCGTTAGTGAAGATCGATCAGATGGCGAGAATAATGAGAATAAGCAAGAAGGAACTCACTGTGGCTGGCTGGTTGGCTGGCTGTCTGGCTGGCTGGCTGGCTGGCTGGCTGGCTGGCTGGCTGGCTGGCTGGCTGGCTGGCTGGCTGGCTGGCTGGCTGGCTGGCTGGCTGGCTGGCTGGCTGGCTGGCTGGCTGGCTGGCTGGCTGGCTGGCTGGCTGGCTGGCTGGCTGGCTGGCTGGCTGGCTGGCTGGCTGGCTGGCTGGCTGGCTGGCTGGCTGGCTGGCTGGCTGGCTGGCTGGCTGGCTGGCTGGCTGGCTGGCTGGCTGGCTGGCTGGCTGGCTGGCTGGCTGGCTGGCTGGCTGGCTGGCAACGAACCAACCAACCAAGAATCTATCACTGAACAAATGTGCACTGGAAGGAAGTGGAGATGGAGTGGATTGGATTGGATTGGGCATACACTGAGAAGACCATTCGAGGATATCACGCATCATACTCTCGAGTGGAAGACAGATGGGAAACGGCGAGTTGGGCTTCTGAGGCGAGAGTGACATGGAGGAGATGGTGTGAGAAAAAAATGAGAGGTTGTGGGCAGTCGTGGAGGTAGGTTGAGAAGAGTACAGAGAACAGGATGGAATGGAGACGTGCTACTGAAGCCGTATGTTCCATTAGGAACCCAAGGGACAAATAATAATAACTTAACATGAAAGAAGCCAGTTTACAGGCATTATCATATTGATATATGCTGGAAAATCTGCAAGATTTTCCGGGAGCTGAATGGTAAACAAAGGAGCTCTCTTCTTTCATTAAATTCGATTGAAAACATCAGATTTCACAAGTTATGAAATGAACAAGAAAATACCACTTTTCAACATATACAGAGTGTTAAAGTTTAGATCACTTTCAGTCATACTTTCCTTTTCACCATTGATGGCACCAAGGTCGCACAAAACTCCAAATTTCCGTTACAAGCAGTCGACATATTTGATTCGTCTTCGTAATACCCCGTTACGTTAGATAAACGTCTGTTTTACCTTAAATTCTTATTCTCATAGGTTAAGAAACCAAAGGAACCCACACTGACGATTTGGAGAAACCTGTAATTTTCCACATTATCATGTAATCCAAATGAATATCTATTCAAGTGTTAGTATTCACAGCAATATAGATTACCGTCATCAGAATTAGATATTGTGGTGCAAAGTAATAAACATTTAAAGAACTACACACCAATGGCAATGTGTTTTCCATACTGTTCACATTAAGGTATCCAGCATTATCCCAAATAAAACGAAACACGCGTCGTGGATTCTTCTGCTAACCACAATCAAAAGGATTACCATAATTAACATTCAGATAATATTGAGGCATTTGCATAGGAGACCATATCCCAAAGAGGTCGAACATTGCGATGCAATAAAACAACAGAGAATAACAAATATGTCAATAAATAGGAATAAAAATTTTATTGTTACATTAGGGATTTAACGTAACAGAAGCCAGTTTATAGGCATCATCACATTGGTATATACATATATTGAAAAATCTACAAGATTTTACGGGTCCTGAATGCTACAGAAGGGAGGTCATTTAATTCCATTAAAAACATCAGAAGATTCGACAAGTTATGAATTGAACAAGGAAATACCACATTTTAATATATACAGAGTATTAAAGTTTACATTGTCCTCAGTCATACTTTTTTTCACCATACATGGGTGGCATCAAGGTTGCCGAATACTCCACATTTCCGTTACAAGTAGTCGACATGTTTCACTTGTCTTCATAGTATCACGTTACACTAGATAAACGTCCAGTAAACCATAGATTGTTATGCTTATAGCTTGAGAGACCACACTGGCAATTTCAAGAATCAGTAAATTTTCATATACTCATGTAATCCAAATGAATATCTATGTGTAAGTATTTCCCACTGTTCAAGTGTTATCGTTCATAGCAATATAGATTAGCGCCATGAGAATTAGACGTTGTGGTGCAGAGGAATAAGCATTTGATGAACCGTCGACCAATGGCAATGAGTTTTACATACTGTTCACATTAAAGTGTGCAACATTATCAAGGAGGTATATTCACTGTTAGATGAAGTACTCAAAGAATCTGTTAATCGACAAGTTGATCTCATGAATTTTACTGTCTGTCCAGATTTTCGTTATCATTATGACCGTCGATAAATGTGAGTAGATTGAGGATAGAAAAATGTTAATATGATGAAAGAGTCAAATAAGTGAATGAGATTGGTAATTCTTACTTATTGGACAATAATTTTTGCAGGAGCACAATTTCAGGGATTCTTAAACATTTGAAGGAATAATCTTCAAAATTTTCATCTTTATTACTTAGTTGATTGATTCCTCGAAAATAGAGGAAGGTAATAAATGACAGAAGATTTATTCATGAATTATTAATGTTTCACCCCTGGCTTCCGCCTTGAAGTTCATATTCTATTCATTTTGTCTTATTCACTTATCTAATGTTTAAGTTGTTCTCGAGAATTCATAATGTTCTTTCTGTCCACTTGTCAATATTCTAAGGGACTTTAGACATTTTTGAAGAATAAGGAACAATAATAATACTTTATACTGTTAAGGATGCTGAAAATCTTCAATTTAGCTGGTTTTTCCCAGTTCCCCAGTTATAAATTTTCAATAGTGACATGAACACAATTCGAATACAATTACTAATGATTGTTCTCATTCTGCAATTTGATTTATCTCAAAAATCACTTATGTCTTCAAGAAAAAATTTCTATTTTCATAACTGTTCATCATCAATGTATTGTTTCTTCAGAAGTTTAGAAGCAACGCTGTACATCATCACTGAACAGAGTATAGAATGGCAGTCAACTCAACTCTATCTCAACTTTATCGGCTTTGAAAAAGCCTTCGATAGCGTCGATCGAGAAGTAATTTGAAAGCTGCTGCTTCAACACTACAGTTTTAGTGCCACAGATATTTACCAACCTCATTCAACAGTTATATGAAGACACCACACGCCGAGTGACACAACGGAAAGCTCAGTGAAGACAGGAGTAAGACAAGGCTGCCTGTTATCACCGATGATCTTCCTGATTTTGGTGTACTGGATCATGCAGCAGACAACTGTGAGGAGCGAGAAGATGGCCATATGCTGGCTGAACCGATGAAAAGACCCTAAAAGATTTGGATTTCGCCGATGTTGACTTATGTCTAATATCTTATGTCGCACAAACTGGAAGATGTACAAGCGAAGACGGGACTTCAAGTGAACGTAAGGAGGACAGAGGTAGTGAAGATTCCCAACCACCACCAACAACAACAACAAGCACCAATCATCATCGCCACCAACGGGAGAAATCTAAAGGAAGTTGTCTCTTTCACCTACCCACCTAGGCAGCATCATTTCAACTACACGAGGCGGCATAGATGAGGATATCAAAGGCAGGATCGGAAAGACACCAAGATAGGCCTTCCCGCATTAATCAGAAACTAATCAGTATGGAGATCTACTGCACTGCACTCAGCATAAAGCGTGAACAAGATGAGGATTTTCAACACTAATGTCAGTCAAGTAAGTCAGTGCTTCTATATGATGGTTGAGAGGTTTGGTGCCTTACGAAAAGCATTTCCAACAAACTGCATACATGCGCCACATCAATAGTTGCCACCTACGCTCACTCGATGCTGAAGATCAGACTGCCAAAATAATAAGAATAAGCAACAATGAACTCTGATGGCTGGTTGGCAACGAACCAACCAGCCAACCAACAACTCATCACCCAACAAATATGCGGAAGAAGAAAGTGGAGATGGATTGGATTTGGCATACAGTGAGAAGACCGTTTGAGGACATCACGTGCCAGGTCAGGCCTTGAGTGGAAGCGAAATGGGAAAGGACGAGTTGGGTGTCTGCGGGTGACATGGAGGAGATTGTGTGAGCAAGGAATGAAAGCTTGTAGGCAGTCATGGAGCCAGGTTAAAAAGATTGGAGAGAGGAGAGTGAAATAGTGACGTGCTGCTGAAGCTCTATGTTCCAGTTGGAACCCAAGGGATAAATAATAGTAATTATCCTATCCTGCAGCTGGTTCTCATATCTTAGTTGGTATAGCATCAAGCGGATAACCTGAAAGATGGCCACTGATTCGAATCCTCC